TCTGAGCGAGAGTCTGTCGACTATCTACTGTGACGGATCATTCGGCACTTACTCATCGCTACACGAAGTCACCCTATCCTGATAAATGAAAGTCATACTCACACCCGCAAGATGGACATGCACACTCTTTTTCTTTATTATCACAATTGTAACAGAAGATTAGTTAGTAAACAAGCTTATAACTATTTGACCAGAACAATTTAGAGAGCTACGGTCTTTGTCATTCAAGAAAAGGGTCTTCTTTCGAATGATGAAGATCATAACTCTCTATTTGTTCACATTAATTAGTTATAAGCTTTTCAGCAACTAGTCTTCTTTTAAAATTCTGACAATAGAGAAAAAATACTGTTTTGGACGATTGAAAGTGAAAAATGTTGTTTTCACTCACATTGATTGAAAGTGAAAAATATTGTTTTCATGCACAACTGATTGAAAGTAAGAGAATAAGAAACATCTATGATCAAAAGATGTTCGAAGAGAAAAAGGTGAAGGACATTAGAGCAATTTTGATTGAAAAATAACAAACAAGAATGCAGCATCTTGAAAAGCTACGTATATGTGAATAAAAAACATGTGGTTTCATTTCGCTTTATTTTGTTGGTTTAATAATCATAGTATATCATTTCGTTTGCTTTTATAACAATAGCATTAAAGAAATAAACAGAAAAAAAAATGATTCGAATGAAATTTATATACGAGGGTCAGTTGTGGATATAGAGTAATTCTTACATCCTCATCTTCACGATAGCCCACCTAACACCTCCACTTTCAACATCCTTTACGATTGTCTGTGATTTAGTTGTATATGTGTCAGCAAAGAATTCTACGTTTGATCAGTTTTTTTAAACTTAACTACATTCACATGTGAACTATGGCACAATGAAACACCAAACCAAATTAAGTAAATAAAAAAAACATTAACCACAACAATTGAATTTTTTTGTTCTTTCGAAGCCACATGAAAATTCTTTATCTTTCACATTATTCACCATAGCTGGAAGAAAAACATGAGCTTAGAAACGGTGACCAATGCGTTTCATAGTCTTACTTTACGCTTTAACTCTTTACTAATCGCTCGTATTTAACGTCATGAAATAGACTTTCGAAGGTGTGGATGGGTGTGGGTGTGGGTGCAATAAATAAGATACACCCACGCACAAATCCAAACCTGCGTCTACATTCACCCACACTCACCCGGTCTCTTATGTTGTATAACGAACGTGTTCCTGGAATTAGATAGAATTGATTCCGGGCTGTAGCTGATTTCGTCATATTCAACATTTTTGTATAGGATGACTGATCCTACATCCTCACGCTCACCCACTTCTATACCCTCCAGATGGATCCTTGAGACGCTTTAGGATTTATCGATACCCATAGGATTCGTTTTTTCCCCTTGAGTAAAAAAATTTTATGTTGGAAAAAAACTTCATTTCCGTACTCTTTGATTATCTAAGATCTATAAAGCCAAGCACGAGTATGAATCGAACTACTATCTTATTGAGAAAATTATTCATCCAGTAGACATTTTTTTCACAAAAAAGAACTGTCTACAACAAACATCACTCTTCATCAATGATAAATGCATAAATTTTATTCTTTTTGACAGAAAAATGAACAAAAAGACATTAACCAATGTCTTTTATGTTTTAATAACATAGATTTAATAAAAATGAACATTTTCTGTTAAAAAAAAACAAGTTTTGCTATACTATACAAAAAGAAGAAAAAGATAAATAATCTGAAAATGGTTGGATGGATTCTGAATGAAGTATATAAAACAAAACAAAAAGAAATTGAATACAATATAAAATCATATATAGAGACATGCGCCTGAAAAAGATCAGAGGTGAGAAAAAAAGGATGTGGGTGTTTTGATGATAAATATAATTCATATGTGCATATGCCAATGACGTAGTTATGTTGTGCTAATAAATTCTCATGCGCAATTGATGACGTGCTTTTATATGTGTTGATAAATAATATATATAAATGATCGATGAAAGACAATTTCTTTTGAAAAGGCATTGCAATAACACGCTCATGAAATTAATCATCAATCATGTTTTATTTTTTTATTTCTTTAAGATTGGCTTTCATTTTCGAGTCACTTCATATAAATATAGAAGAAAATGGGCCTGATTAAGAACTCTTTGAGAGTGGGCCTGGGTGTACGTCTGAATATCTGGTACACATGAGAATCATATCAACAACCATATCCACACCAAGATACAGTTTTTTTAATGTCAAGAGGAAAGAACAATTAATAGCCTTATTTTTAAGAAATCTTCCTCTTATTTTAATAGAGTCATCAGTTAGGATGAAGAATTCTTATATTTATTTAATGAACAAAATCTAGTAAAGATTAATTATTGACGCTTAAATTCATTATATGAGAAATTATGATTAGCAAATCATGTTATAAAATCAAAGAGTTTCTAAATAAAATAAAATAAATGTCTAATTTATAGAATATTCTCGAAAATATTTTCATCATAAACTAATCGAGTGTAATGAAAAAAACTTTAATCTCTCTCTCTTCTCTGGTAATATAAGATAAAAGGAATTAGAAATACATAAAAACATTTCTTATTCAAATAATATCAATCCTTTTTAAAGATTTCATGATAGAAAGAGAAATATTAATTCAATCGAAATCAAGAGTTTTCTAAAAGCATATTGAAAAATGGATTAAAAATTTCTCTCAGAAAATGAGATATATAAATACGAATGATATAGGATCTTGAAACTTGATGAAAAAGAATATATAAAAATATGAATTCACTCAGAAACCATTGAAGTACTGAGATGATGAATATCAATTTCAATAATGGCCAGAATTAGGATTAGTGAATGTTTTTATATAAATATATGTATTTTTGTCGTAGTAAGTGATAACATATTGTTTCAATTTAAGAACATTTTGTTCTTGTTGAACGGCATAAAAGTTGAAAATATGATTTATAATTGTATCTAAATCATTCTTGTACTTTTTTCTCTATATATTCAACACCTACGTGCATATTGTTAATTTATTCTAATCCTTGATGATTGATGAATCTAGGAGAAAACCATGATTTTACTTTTCATAACATTATTAGAAATATTTTGATTTATTAAGTCAAGGATAGATTCTAAATAATAAAAAGCATGCTTTTTTTGTCTTCATTTATTAAGTTTATGATGAATAACCATCAAATAGAGAAACAATTTTCTCCTATATTATGCATCTCCAACTCTGTTTTTCTTCATTTTGATTCTAAGCCGACTCAAGTAAGTGTTTGATATTAAAGACTCTTATACCTTCATGATACGATCCTCTAGATATTATATTGTCTTTAAATGTAAAATACTGATATTTAATATGACAGATCCACATTCACAGCTTCACATATTGGAACAAAATAAACAGTTTAGATAGGAATACGTTTTAAAGTTTTGTATCTATCACCTCAACATGTCTTGCCGCGCATACAAGCGATTGACAACTGTGGTTATAAACTTCTCCAAATCTTCTTCTGCAGCTTTACTCTAGTACCGTATTCACTTCATTCTAATGCCATCCCCATTGTGAGAAATCAACTGTATAGTTGAAGCTGCTTATCGGTAGTGCGCTCACTCATCTCCACTCAGGGCAGAATCCCTAACTATTTGGCAGTCATAAAGTTGAATTTGCTTCTAGTACTATATCTAGAATTTAAAGGTGTCTAAACTAAGAATAACATAACAGTTCACTCGTATATACATCCATCTAATTTAATTGGAATAATTCCAAATGAGGGTCATTATAAAATGATAAAGAAGTTGAGAAATCTATTAGTTCAGAAATATAAAAATCAAGGGGTAAAGAGTGAAATCCTGGAATCCGCGAGAATCTTCAAGAATCCTTGGGAATCTTCGGGAATTTTTGTAGTCCATTAGAAGTTGTTGGAATCTGAAAATGGTAAATAAGACACAAAAATTTTTGACATTCATTAAAATCTTTGAAATTCCTAGAAACCGACGAGATATTCTTTCTATTTTCCCCCAAAGTCGACGATTCGTGGAATAATTTGATGAAATCCTTTGAGATTACATTGTTTAGATTTAACGGTTCGAATCTCAAACTTGCATCTATGTTTGCAGATAATAGCTGTTTTCATATATAATAAAAAGACACCCAAAAGACTTGAATTGAAGGGTGTGTAGTGTGTGGGTGATCTAGGTTGACCAATCTGATGCAGGACCCGACAAAACCCTATAGGATTCCGAGTGACGGATTCATTTCGGGTTCTATCATTTCGGAATTCCATCAGATCCAAATATCGGATTTCATAGGATCCAACAGACGAATCTGATATGCACCTAAGATCATCTATTTATATATATAAAGAAGAATGTCTGTCTATTCGCTATGCATTCAGATCCTGTAGTAGCTACGATCACCAAACTTTTCACGATGCTTCCTTACGGCTCAGGCAAGGTCGACAGGGGTTTCGCATGCCATTCTTAGAGCGGGTAGGGGTGGACCGTGGATGAAATTTCACCCAGGTAGTTATGTGATAGCTATAGGCACCAAACTTCTCATGGCTGTTCCCTAAGTCCAACGGAAGGTTGAGAGGGGGTTGGCGATAGTGATGAGAGATTAACAGAGTGATTGGGTAAAATTTCACCCAGGTGATTCTGTGATAGCAAATATCACCAAACCGTCTATGACACTTCTGTATATACAGGGAAAAGTGGAGAAGAGGTCGGATACGGAAGGTGCTTGAAATCCTAATATTTTGCAGCGGGAGCTGTGCGAGAAAGTTTTTGCAGCAGGCCTCACTCATACACCCACATTCTTACGCCTACACCCACACCCACATCCTCAAGATGGTATTAATATACCAAAGTAATGAAATAGCGAAACAATGAGACATTAATTGACAACAGTAGCATTTTTTTCATGAAAGTTTTAATTTTATATTCAGAATGATCATAATTAACATTTATATGTGATATTTATTATACTATGACAAATGTCCTCTTTAAAAGAATACTTTCTGAATTTAAATTTATTGTCACCATCATCCGATTCCAATGAACAAGAAAATGATCAACAACATCGATGGAATATTATTGGTACACGAATTTATATTATACTTATTATACTCATTCTTTTTATTATTGGTCTTATTTTATTATTACTTGAACAACGAGTGATGGTTACTATACCAAATCCAACAAAAGAACAGTTTGAACGTCTACCTATCAATGCAAAATGTTCATGTTCTCATATTTCTATTCCATATGTGAAATTTATGTCATTGAACACAAGTTTTCATCAAGTTTGTTCAAGTGATTTTATTACTGATCGATGGATAAATGCAATTGATTCGAAAACAAATACAACTTATTTTGTTGTTACAGACTTTCGACGTTTTGGTAATGCTCAGTTTCAAGCACTTGCTGCTTATTGTCGTTTGTCAAATTGGTATACTGCTCAAAGTGTTTATGCAGTTCTTCAAAATACATTGCTAAGTCCACAAATCTTATCAGAAACAGATCTGCAGTCACTGATCAAAACAATAATTGAACAATTCAAACTAAAAACACCAAATACTTTTAATACTCAACTAAAATTAATCATCAAAATGACAATCGCCAATGAATTAATACCTGCAGTACTGACTAGCCGCTATTTCGAAAATATGGACACGGATATTCGTTTATATATATATCAGTACCAACCGACGAATGATTCTGAGTGTGATTGCAGTCTAAACAATTGTAATCAAATAGAGTCAGGTATTGTCAATAAATTTGAAAAACAATATGTAGATAATAACATGAATAATAGTTTGGCATGGTCGATACCAGGAATCTTAACAGGTTGTTTCCCAGGATTTACACTTCTGTCATCGACACTTGAATGTTTTTACAATCAAACATGTGTAAACAAACTTATTTCATATTTTCCAACAAGTAACAATTTCACCGCGATGATTATAAATAATGAAAGTTTATATAAACCAACATCTACTGTCCAATCAATAATTGATAATTTGATGATTGAAGATTGGACAACGAGTATTTCTCATGATAAATATTATTCAGAGTGTGCACCATCTTCATGCACTTATTTGAAAAAATTTCGACGAGATTTTGGTCATGTCTTGAAAAAATTGATTAGTTTATTGTCTAGTTTGACATTAATACTGGGATTAATAATTCCGTTTGTTATTCGATTCGTTATGAAACGACGAGATCGAACACCAAAACCACGAATTTCTTGTAAGTAGAAGTTACTATCAATGAGAAAGTGAAAAAGTAACAAATTAAGAATTAAGAGTAGAACAGAAAAAAAGAAAAAGATGAAAGAACGAAAAAAAAGTTGATGATTTTAGTTATGACAATATTTCAAAGAAATTGATTTTGTACATTTTGATAAAATTAAATCATATTTCTTCTCGTAATATCTAGTGAAAAATCGTTTATATCAATTGAAAGAAATGATTCAAAAGAAATTAATTGAATTAAACATTTTCAAACAATCTTCTAATACAGATCGACAAACGAAATTTCAACGTTATGGAACACGATTGTATTTATTTTTTCTCATTGGTTCAATGATAATTATAACTATTTATGTATTTTTACAAAAATCAATTCAATCAAAAACGATTTTTTATCCTACTGAATCTCAGTTTACCCAACTACAAGAAAAATATCCTCGATCATTGTCATGTCCATGTAGTTCAGTATCAATACCTTATTCAAATTTTACAACTATTGAACCACAATATCATCAATTATGTGGAAGCGATCTCATTTCTAAAGAATGGATTGCTTACATAAAGGAAAGTGCCCATGCAAATGGTATTTATAACTGGGATTATCGAATAATTGCTACTAAGTATTTTGAATTGTTATCATTATTTTGTGAACAAGCTAAAGAAATCATTGTTAATGCACGTGAGATTTTTCTCAGAACAGAACTCGTTAGTTTACAAGTTCTTGCAAAAGATTCGTTTGAGAATCAAATAAATTCATCGATTGAAGGTTGGAAATTAACAACGACAAATACTTTTAAAAGAACTATTCAATTAATTCGACAAATTTATCAGGGAAATCAATTGATTAGTAGTACACATACCGGTTATTTTTGGACAGATGAAAATTTAGAAGTATATGGAGAGTCAAAAACACTCCAAAATTGTGACTGTATTTTAAATTTATCCTGTTATCTTACTGTTCGACTTTATCGTCTCATTCCAGATGGTGGATACTTCGGTGATCAATATCTAGTTTCGAATTTGTTTTATAGTTGTTATCCAATTCAATCATTATTTGGATCAACATTAGAATGTTTTTATAATCTATCATGTATGTTAGAAATTGATGAACATATGAATTATTCAATACCTTTCAATTTTTCTGCTCTTGATCCAGATTTGAGTAAATATGATGAAAAAATTGAAATGATTATTAATCGATTAATGGTTGATAAATGGTTACCAAATGTTTCTTTTTTATCATATTATAAAAAATGTGCACCATTATCATGTACTTATCAATATGATGGTCGAAATAATATTTTCATTAGTATTACAACTATTATAAGTATTTTTGGTGGTTTATCACTTGCATTGAAACTTTTAATTATGTTTAGTCTTGAATTTATTAATAAAATTTGTTCAAATAATTTCTTTCATTTAATTCCATTCAATTTCATTAAACAAATCTTTATTTGTCATACTGAAAATCAAATTATTCGGCGATTACATGTCATTTTAGTTATTGGAATTCTTACTACATTTTCTATGTTTTCAACTATTACTCCTCGTGTAATAACTATTACAACGAATAAACCTTCATTAGAAATCTATGAATATTTATATAAAGATCATAATGATACATTGGAATGTCCATGTTTACAATCATCAATGAAATATAAATCATTTTTAAATTTAACAACTCGTTTTCATGAAATATGTTCAAGTGAATTTATTACCGATCGATGGTTTTTATATTTACATGGCAAAAGACATAATGATAAACGACATTCACCATATGATTTTTATAATTCAGCTGTTGGTCAATTTAAAATACTTTCCTCATTTTGTGATTTATCAAAAGAAACAGTTTCTGAATCAATTATTCAATTAGAAACAACGGATTTTATTAATAATCAACTTTTATCATTAGATATCTTAAATAATACAATTGAAATGTTTATTAATGGATTTCGACAAACAATAACACAATCATTTGTCAATAGTATTTCATTAGTTCGAGAAACAATTAGTAGTAATATGTTCATGACTATATATCTAAGTAATTGGGAGTTTGATCGTATAGATCCTGACAATAACAGCATTATTCCTATGCTTCCCTTAAATTATAAGGGATGTAGTTGTTCATCATCATCTAAATGCGTTAGTTCATCTCATGGAATGTTAGTTGGTTGTTATCCACTTGAATCAATATTTCAAACAACATTAGATTGTTTTTATAATCAAACTTGTATTGATTCAACAAATAATTTCAAATCAATAAATTTTTCATCATTAGAAACAAGTCGTTTTTTATTAAATCAAACAATTGAATCAGTTGTCAATGAATTAATGCTCGAAGAATTAAAATTTGAAATAAACTATCCAAATTATTTTAATGCATGTTCATCATCATTATGTATTTATTCATATGTTGATAAAAGGAATGCTATTGAAGGATTATTGACATTAATTGGTTTATATGGTGGTTTAGTTATTATTTGTCGATTAATTGCTATTATTATTGTCAAAAAAATGTGTCGAATGAATAGTAGAGTTAATCCGGTTACAAATTTATCTTAAATAAACAAAAAATTTCTTGCTTTTCATTTCTATCCATATTAATCACGCTTTATGCTTATTAAATAAATAAAAATAAAACTTAACATATTCATTTTTTGTTCAATACGCAAACTCGATTTACTTGGATTTAGGCAATTGCTCGTGGGACAGTTGCGCACGGACATTCGCTCACCGGACAGTTGCTCGCTAGGACACTTGCACGCCACGGTGTGGGTGTGGGTGTGGGTGTTGAAACAATAGAAAACCCACACCTACACCCTCAAGATTTAATCAAATAAATCCTTACATAAGAAAACTATTCAGTACTGAGGAAGAAACTACTAAGAGATATATTAATTATTAAAAGAAAGAGACAAAGAATACGATACGAATAATGTTCGATGAAAAGCATTTGAAATTAGAAGAAGGAGGCTCCATGAGAAATACTATTTGAAGCAGCTGAAAATCGGCTTGCTTTTGCACGTGAAGCTTTGGCTGCATGTCGAGCATGACTTTCATTGAATTTTACAGTACCAAAAGGTGTTGGAACTTTTAAGGAATATTTGTCTTTAACACTTCTGGCTGCAACAGAAGCTACTTCAAATGATGATCCATCTGCTCGGCTTGATCGTCGTTTTATTGAATGGTGATGTACCATTGGATAACAACCATCATCACAAAAGAGACTCATTTTCACAATAATTGAATAAATGTTTGAAATTCAATGGTAAAGTAATGATTTTTTTCATTTCTTTATATACGTTTCGGAAAAAAACAATTATTCTTTCTACTACAGCAACAAATAGTACGAACGTCATTATACATAAAATAATTTTACTGTATCTAACGCATGAAATCAAATAGAACACATGCAGAATGTCTAGTAGTTTGTTCTATGACTTTTTTCACAAAAGAGCAACCGTAGAAAAAAAATAATGTTTCACACATGACAAAACATCTCGATATATTTCACACAATGATAGGAAGAAAACCGCACTAGCACCCAACTTTATAAAGCCGCATATACATCATATTGACAAACATCCACAACTCGAAGAGATACGCTCACAAAAACTCACTTTGCCAAATTTATAAAAAAAAATAAATCGCCAACAAAATTGAAAAAACACACTCCAAATCTCCTTTTTAGTTCACATAAGCACCTCAGATAATCTTGACAAACACCCACAGAACTCCATAACTTACATGTTAATCCGAATAAATATCATTCAAAATATTTCTTTTCTAAAGAAACGATCTTACATTAAAAACTGTCTCTTTCGGCTAATCAGATTTGAGCAAGGATTTTTCTGCTATTTTCCCAATCAACCATAAGATTTAATAATATTCAATATTTAACGTGAAGTAAATAGAATCGATAAATGTATATGAATCACATTACTCAAATTAGTCGAGAAATGGAACGTCCGTATTAAAATTATAGGTTGTGGTGGTGGAGATGGGGGTTTTCTAGTCAATGATACTTCAAGTAATCGAAACGTCAAAAATTAAAAAAATAAATTGTAAACATATTCATTTATCGATTCTATTTTACTTCACGTTAAATATTAAATTATTTTCGTTTGTCTCATAAAATTTAAAATAAGATCAGAGCACCTTTACTCTCACGCTCACCCACATCTCTGACAAACATTCATTAGTTTAATGTAAATGATATTTTATTATTTAGGAATATTATATGAATAAATAAAAGATTAAATATACAAATCAAAATATTTAAAATGCGGACAAAACAACATAAAATTCTTATTATTTACAATTTATCCTTATTCTTCATGTAATAGTTATGTTCAAAAAAGAAATAATTAAATATCAATTTCATCCATTTTTGATATTTCCATTTTTTGTGTCATATAAATCTAAAGAAATCAATAAGAATACATTTAAAATAAACTAAAAAATTCCACATACTCGATTGATTACATCTAATAATTCATCAATTCTTTCAGGAAAACGTTCAATTGGATGAAAATATTCTGAACGCATTACAACATCTCGTGCTTCATAATCATCTTCTTCAGTTGCTTTTTTCCAACCTGAAAAATATCAAATAAACTCTTTTTGTTCTTCTCTAATTAAATCAAATCTTATATATAATACCTATCCAATGTTGAAATCTTTCTAACATAAATGGGAATATTTCTTGTTTATCATTATTAATATTTTTTCGAGCACACCGAAAATTATCCGCAATAATTGTTAAAAACATACTCATACAAATAAATACCACTATAAAAATAAATAAACTAAAACAAAATGGTCCCAAAAATGCTGCAGCTTCACTTATTTCATATGCATTAAATTTCATTAATGTCATTTCAAATAACATTTGTGCTGATGCTAATAAACTTGAACATGATTCTAATTTCGATACAAATAATAAATAAAATAAACAAACAAATGCCATATATACAATTGAAAACATTAATGAAAATGATATTAATTCGTTTCGAGCATTTTGTATTGTTACAATAAATAAACTAAGACGTTGACTATAACGACAAAGACGAACAAACTTAATTGTACCAAAAAAACAACAAAAACCAAATAAATATATTAAAATATTATTGATATATGATGCCAATTGTAAATTAATATAAACATAACCATTTGTTTCATTAAATAATTTTCCAATACGTTTACATTCATTAAAACGCCAAATATATACTCCGATAATTGTCCATGAACAAGCTATAATACCAACATCAATATATGACCAAAATCGTCGAAAATAATTCCCTTTTAATTCTAATAATAAACGAATTTCGATCGACATAAAATATAAAATCATTATCATATAAACAATTAAACAAATCAATTGAAATAATGATGTAAATGCTAAGAGAAAAATATTTTATTATTAAACAAATACAAAATTAAGGGTGTGGGTGTGGGTGTGGGTGAGGGGTGGATGTGAGTATGGGTGTGTTCTATTTCCGATGTTCCCACACCCACACCCACACCCACACCTAGGAATGCGCAGTTTCAGAGCAAATACTAAAAAACTGTCACTTTCAGCCCTGACAGTGACGTACCGTAGCACTGAAAAGACTGACACCGGTTTCACTGATGCTGCGGATTCACCTGGCTCGGTATCCGGGCGGTTCCACTGCACCAGTGAGCCCATTGTCAGTGCGACGATGCGTCACTGTCGGTGCCGACAGTGCACGGTTTACTGAAACTGCGCATCTATACTCACACCCTCAAGATGGCAAAGTGATTGTCGGCAAAGCGTAGCGGACCCTTAAAAAAAGACGTACCATCAAAATTCATTGGTTCAAAACTTGCTGATGAATAAACTGCACCTGTTGATAAAAATTCCACAAGTAAACTAACTGATGTAAATAATTGTACATTTGGATTATATAAACTTAATTGAATTATTACAGCTCGTGTTTGATTATCAATCCATCCTAATGCATGAAGTTGTGATAAATTACTTTGAAGATCAACTAAACGACCACGAAATTCATAAACATAACCACCACTTCCATAAGTTCCATGATTTCCAACATAAACATATGTATCTAAATTTTTACTTGTAGAATATATGAATGATTGATTAATAGATGAACTATATGTTTGTATTGTTTCATTTATTATCCATCCGGGTTTATAAGAATTTTTATCTTCATTTGAAAAACTATAATCATATCGACATGTTGAAATAATTTCATTGACATGAGCAGGACACAAGTCTGATTTAATACGTAATTGTCTCATTGTTACCCAGCCAATTAATCGATTTGTTTTATCATCAATAAAACCACTTAAATTCCTAGGTGGATCATTATTATACCATTGTTGAGCGCGAATATTCGAAGCAAAACTATTTTCTAACCAATTCCAATATTGATTAATTGTTGAAATCTAAATATTTATTTTAAAAAAATACAAAATAGAAAAGAACTACTAACCTTTGTATAATCATCATCCATTTGTCTTGAATTTAAAAGATAATTTTGTAAATGTTTAACTTGCGAATAAGAATTCGATTGACAATTTGAAAAGATTACCGTATAGAGAAGTGATAAGAAGCATATGTAAAGAAGAGTTTCACGAATAATTGACCACATTTGAATTTCTTTCAAACGTCGATCACGTGCACACATAACTTCAGCTTCATTTAAACGATTTGCACGAATTGGTGGTCGATAAGTAAATAGACGATTATTCTACAAAAACTTATTATTTATGATTTCAATTCTTATTCAATAAAACGAACCTTTCTTGAATGAAGATATTCTTCATCATTATCTAAATTAACTTGATTATCATCTAAATATTCATTTGCTTCTTTATCATCATTAGAATTTCGACAAAAATAAGCAAAAAATATTGCTAAACATAGAATCTTCAATAGAAACACATTCATTAAATTACGAGAAAATACATTAAAATCAAAATTCTTACTTTTAATGGTTGTGTTAATAGAATCGAAGAGAAAAGTCCACTTATAATGGATATTAACCATTTTTGAGTTTTCAAATCACCAAATTCAATTCCACGTGCAATTATAAAAAGTATTGAAACGCCAACTAATATAATACAAAGTCCATAGGCAATAAATATCCACCACCAGGCTAATGTTAATCCAGATTTATGTTTACTCTTATTTTCATCAATATCCTTGTCACTAAGTGATGATTTAATTTTATACAAAGCTTGACGTAATGGAGATATTTGTTGTTGACGAGATCGAAGACGTCGAAATAATTGAACAAGTAAGAGACTTGGAATCAGTGCAAATAGTTCAACAATTATACCAATTATTACCTTTTAAATATCAAAATCAAAAGCTGTTATTGCAATCTCTGGTGGGATTAAAATGTGAAACAAAGGTATAGAAATAATTTACATATGATGAACTCGCTTAATTAGCATTTTAATAGTTGTTACAAAATTCAAGAGAAAAATCGATTAATATAAAAGAAACTATTCATGTATCTTGAGGGTGGGTGTGGGTGCGAATTCCTGCCCCTCAACGCTCCTTTTAGATCGTGTTTCACATACTTGTTCGGATGTTATTGAAACTGAACCAAATGATAAACTAATGCTACTTGTTGAATTAGTCGTTGTCGATTCATTTTTTAAATCATAATACATTATATTTAAGAACATTGAAATAATAATTAAAACAAAACAACATGTACAACGTTGAACACGTGTAAATTTACTTGATGGTGGTCGAGAAAATATTGAAAACCATAAATGACTATCAGATATACTATGATAGGACTGTTTTGATAAAACATAAGAAAAATCACATTTTTCCATTTCACTAGCAACTGGTAAAATACGTTCGATCTATTTTAGAAAATATAAATAAAATATTATAATGTAGAGTTTTTTATACTTTTCCATCATCTTTTTCAACTGCAAACCATCGTTGAGAAATAAAATGGAATTTTTCCATTGTTTGTAAATCACGAATAATTAAATATTTTAAGAACCATGATGATGATGAACCTTGACCGGTATTATCGTGCCAGATACGAATAAAATTTAATAATCCCAATGATCTAAATATATGAATCGTTACTTTTTGTTTTTATGAAAAAAATTAATTTACTGTGGCACAGCTAAAATAAATGCATCGATTCCCCCACGTTGAAAAATCGTTCGATGTGGGTCAGCAAATGTACGAATAGTTGTTGAATCGTCATTACCAGATAATACAAAATGAACCTATTGAAAATAATTCTTACAAAATCATTTTAAAATCTTATTACTTTAGATTTTGTTCCAGCATTTCTTCTTTGACCAGTAAAAACAAGAATTTGATAAAAATATTCATCGGATTTTTGATTATCAGGTAATGGTGTTACTCCTAATTTTTCAATATCTTTTCTATCTTTATAACGTGCAAAAATGATTAAACTAACATAACATAGTGACACACAAATAATTGTTAAATAAATTGTTTTATTTCGAATAAAATCAGCATTAGCAAAAACATAATTCCAATTAACAGATTGAGGTAAAATTTGAAAACCACTAGAAAATGTTGTTAAATGAGTTGAAAAACATTGAGTTTCATAATAATTTGTGTTTCGCCCAACTCTTAATCCATCTGATTGCCATTGATTAGATTTATCAAGATAATAACAACCCGATGTATAAATTCGAACTTCATAATTTTCTGTAAAATTAAATCTTTCATTTGTTATTGGAGGAGTTAATATTGAAGAATTAAAACAATAATCATTATTTTCAGTTGTATTTAATTCTCGTAAACCAAATATAATTGATTGATGACCAGATGTTTGTTGATTATCAATAAAATATGTATACATACTTTCATTTGTTAAATTGAAAGGACAAAATACAGTCCATCCATCAATAATATTTATTGAAGTATTTAATTGAGGTATTTGATCAAATTTATAAATAAATAAATAGGAAATATTTGTTTCTAATGGATGAATTTCAATATGAACTGAAACCGAAAGTGTATTTGTGATATTAATATAATGGAAAGAAAATAATTGGTTATGCGGTGCAGAATCTATTGATGATGTTACATTTTGAATAATCATTGATGGAATGATTACATTTGGATCACGAGGAATTATAATTTCAATTGGATCTGTTGAATCTGTATTAATTAAAACTTCATTTCCATTACGATCAACAACAGAAAGTGATATAGATCTCGAAAGATTTGTATTTGCTGTTTGTATTTTTAAACTACCCAATGGAGCAAGTGGTTCCATCCTTGACTAAATATTCAATAATAAAAGAAATATAATTAACAAAATACTAGGGATCTACCAAGCCCAAGAGGAGGGTCGGGCTCGGGTGTGGGTGAAAATGTGAGTGAGAGTGAAAAGGATAGTACCCGGACTCTAGGGACCTGCACGGAGTCATTTTCGGAGTCGCCGTCGAAGTCAAGTAAGTTTCATGTTGGTAATTCCATTTTAACGTTAAAAATTATTTAAGTTCATAGTTTTGTTGTTCGACATTTTCATTATAAAATTACGTATTTTGAAGGATCGGCAGACGTCTTATCGAGTCTCACAAAACCAAAATAAAATGCAGAAAAAGTCGGAGTCGAAAGTGAATCTGACTTTTCTTGACTCCGATTTTCTTTTGTGTTGGCGAGGTTCAACAAAGCATCGATCTATCCTTCAAAATACATAATTTTGTAGAGAAAATGTCGGACAACAAAACTATGAACTTAAGTAATTTTTAACGTTAAAGTTGAATTATTGACATGAAATTTACTTGACTCCGACGGCGACTCCGAGAATGACCTCGTGCAGGTCTCTACCGCACTCCCTACACCCGCCCGAGAGACTCGGTACAACCCTACAAAATACAGTACACTTACTCGAAGTGAAACTGTTGAATTATCACTTATGTTTGACTTGAAATTTTTTGGAATATTAATTCGAGCATTTCCAACTTGTTGAACTTGTTTATTTGAAAGAGATTTCATTGATACAGTTTCTAGTGACATAAATGTTGATGATGTATTTATTATTAAATTTTGACCAATATTTAATTGAATATTTGATATAGAAGTTAGTAATGATAGAATTTGATTCACTTTAGTGGTAACTTGATTTGCTAATTGTTTTTGATAATAGGTATTTCGACCTTTTTGTATTGTTTCCCATGAAAAATCATTTCCATCAGAAAATAAATCTAAATAGATTCAATAGAGAAATGGGTTATTTAATCATATATTTAATATTACTTGGATTTGACCAGGCGGATTCAAGATCTGTATCATAATCCGTCGGAAATGCTGTTGCACGTGATGAATCTAAATCCAATATATCTGTTCGTTGTTGTAGTGGACCATTAACAGCCTGAATGAAAAAAATATCAATTGTCGTTCTATTATTAAGGAAAATATCTTACAGTTAAAATATTCGTTGCACATTGAATCAGTTGAGTTGTGATTATTTGAACATCTTCATATGAAATTCTTGTTACAATTGAATATAGTGCAAGAGATAATTGATAACATTTATCTAATGCAAGTGTCTATTTTTATTTAGAAGAATTTAAACTATATAAGAAGAAGAAGAAAAACGAATATTTATTTTCTTACTAAAGCAGTTCGTGTCAATTGATTTGTTGCTTGAGTTAATTGAGCTAATGATGATGCTTGTAATTTTATATTATTTGATGTTGAAATATCAAGATTAGTTGTAAATGTCATTAAATATTCACGAAGATTTGCATGAGAATTCAAGTCTTTTTTATATTGAATTAAAGCTGTTGCATTCAATGGAGTAGAATTCTATTTAACAAAAAAACAATATTAATAAAATGAAATAAAGTATCGAAGAAAATTACTCCTTGTGAAGTTGTACTTCCTAATTGAGATACAGAAATACTTGCAGCTGGTATTCCGCCTAGAAAAAAAAATTCTCTTAGTATAACAAGATGTTTTCGAATTAAACTTACTTGAAACAGCTTGATCAATCGCGTCACTATTCATTTTATTAGATTGTTGCGAAAGACAACCTACAATTTGTCCAATAATATTTTGATTTCCACTTGAAAGTAATTGAATAGTTGGATTATTTGCTAATGCATTCGATGAACTTTGTAAATTATTTAATAAATTCGTAATTCCTAACGTATCTGGTAGAACATTAATAGATGACATGTTATATTCTGTAATACAATCAAGAGTGTCACGAATTTGAACTATAAGATGAAGTAATGATGTTTGATCATCTCCGGAAGGTAATCGAACTTGAAATATTGACACGGATGAAAATGAAATAAACGTTCGTTCTTGTGGATCTGCTGTCCAAGCTAAATAAATAGAAATATTTTTTAATAGTTCATATAGAGTGTGGGTGTGAATATTGTCTTCATTAGAACGCGTATGTATCTGACTCAAAAGTAATCAAATCAGTGGAGAAATTTCTCATACCGTAAATTGAATAATCTTTAATTCCATCTTCATCAAACCAATTTGAACATGAAATATTAAATGAAGTACTTGTTGTACCATTATAAGGACTAATTGAACATGAGCCGTTTATCGGAGGGTGATTGATTACAAAATTTAATGCACTTGAACTTGCTTGTAATGTAAATCCATAAATAACTTGAAATCGCCAAAGATTAATTTGAGGATTATTGAGAAATAGTTGATTCAATGCAGTAAAATTACTTGTATTCCATCCTAAATTAATCAATAGGATAATTAACCAAAAATAGAAAAAATAATTTTACCAAAAAACCAAATATTTTCATAGATATTCATTTGATTGAACAAAGTCCATTGGGTAGAGTTTGAAGATATATTTGTTGTACCCTGATAAATATTCCATGTTGTATTTTGAATATTGTCGCAATCTCCAATACATAAAGAAAATAAAGCAACTTGTGTTGTTGGATTAACAAGTTGAAATTCCAAATTTGGAGTACACATTGTCCAAATAACACAACTAAATCAAATAAATGTATCATTAAATTATATTAAAACATAGTTTAAGGTGTATGGGCTAAGAGAAGATAGATATCCACACTCTCCTATCTTAAATTAATCAGCTACAAAATTATTATCGATACTGCAACGCGTCTATAAGTCGATTATCTCTATGTCAAAAGTAAGAATATATAGAATTACGAGAACCGAAAAATGTATTTTAATCTAAATGAATGCTTAATATAATTCTCATAAAAGATAATATACCCAACGGCAATCATTTGTGAATCAATAGTTCCAACTGTAACAAGTACATAGCCAGTTGCTTGAGTAGAAGAATTTTGTCGATTTTCCATATAAACCATAAATTGATATGTTTGATTTGGTTGCAGTGAATTAGCAAGAATTGTTAATGATGATTTCAATGACGTACCATATTTCCATCTTGTTCCGTTTCCTTTTAATAATAAAATTATTCAAATAAATATTTAAATCAAATTTACCTGTTTGATTTGCGAAACACGATGGATTTAAAGGATCAGTTCCATTATCATCAATTGATAATAATACACCATTTAGACTTGGAAACATATATAGACCATAAATTCGACAATAATATACATATTTCCAATTCTATTACATAAAGAAAATTATAACTGAAATAATTCTAGAATTGTTTTCTTACACTTTCATTAAATGTATATCCATCGAGATCAACTGAAAATGCTCCTGGATTAAAATTAAGATCTTGATCATATCCAATTGTAATCATTGATGTTCCTAATTGAACAAGATTTACTGTTATACCTGATGATGTTATTTGAACATAAACTGAAGATGATGTTGTGAGATTAGTTAAATTAGTCATGGTTACAGTTAATTGTAATTCATAAATTCCGTAAGGCAATGTTTTTGCTGGTATATATAATTCAGTAAATGTTGTTTTTATTGTTGGATCCAACTGAATTTGATATAAACAAGTTGAACTACAATTTTTTATTTTCCATTGAGCGACTGCTGATAATGAACCATTACAATTTAATTCAATCATTGAAATTATATTAAAATCGTCACTTCGATGAAATTGTATTGGTGATGATAATGTTGATGTACCAGGGATAAGTGCTACTTTTGGTGCAAAACATTCTAAGAAACAAAATAAACATTTAAAATATATTTTTATAATTTTTTAATTATTACTTTGAGATATGATCGATAGTTTTGAAGTTGTCATTGCTTCTGTACTTGTTGTTTGTTCTAAAAATATTTCTATCTCATTATTGAAATTATTTTAATCAACAAACCTATTCGAATTGCCGTAGTAGAAGAATCAACAGTTGTGTGAATTGCTGTAGTGGATCCATCAACAGTCGTCTTAATCTGTGTCGAAGTTGTTTCATCTATATAAGAATAAAAAGATTTATTTTGTCAGTTAGAAACGAAATTTAGTTTTTCAATAAATTCGTAAATTTCTAGTTACAGTTGTCATATCAAAAGAAAATAAAAAGTAGGTGTGGGTGTGGGTATTAGATTGACCTGATCAAGCACACTCACACCCTCCAGATGGAATGATTATTTACCTTCTATGAGCGTTATGGTTGTATCTGTTATCGAAACGCCTGGTGTATCAGTACAGTAGCGTGCATTGCAAACTGGAGGTGCACGTAGTTGATAAACGTAATAAGATCCACAATTAGTCACAGCAATACTACTGTTCCGATAGCAATTGTTAGGTGCCAAATTAAAGCATACAGTTCCATTTATAGTTGTATCCGCACCGGTGGGCATTTGTCCTGAATACCAAGTTGTTACGGTGGTACTACATCGATTGATTGCAACCGGGCTTGTTGGTATTTGTGTACCACCTATACCAAAAAAACGAACCCACATTGCACCAGAACTGAAGAAAGTGTTATCACAAGTACTACCATTGGTTACATTCACGTTTCTTGTAGGATCATTGATCAGCGTATAATTGTAACATTGAGAAGAGACTAGTCGTGCGTTCGGCGTTGTAGCTAAATAGAAAAGAAATAGTATTCGGATATAAAAGCAAATTAGTCTACTATTAAAAATAGACATATGACAGTTCCTCTTTCCAAGAACTGTGTTGAATGATCCGTTCTTTTCTAATATAGAATTGATTACGTAAACCGTTCTTTTCACATAAACTAGGTCCGATACATTTAGGTATGCACAAGTCCGAGTGGGTGGGGCACAGTTCAGTTCGAGATCTAGTGACATTAAAATCATTTCGACTCTGCGAGGATAACAATGTAAAAAACAATCAAAGTGCTTACATACACTGTAAATGAGAAATTTATATGACAGCTATCATATATATGTAACATGCCATTTCTAAAGAAGTCTGTCATGTCTGTGGCAGAGAGAAGTGTGTTCCAAAATTTTATCTCTATATATTTCAACAAACTTTTTAGTTCCTGTTTCACAATGCGTTGACCATCGTTTCTAGTTCTTTCTGTATGAATCCAGCTTAGTTATTTTCAAAAAGATGATTAAGGGAAGCAGCGTAGTTCTTCGATCGAAAACTGTCATTCATCTAATAGGAAACCTAAAGAGATTAGCAGAAACTGATATCTTTGCTAATGAATGAGTTTTAGACTTTGGGTATAAAAAATATTCAATTACTTAGGACTAAAACAATTCACAAATGATATAAAACTACAAAAATCGGTGCTATCAGCTTGTCATTTCAGAAAACGATGGCTCTTTTCTAGCAGAAAATGACTTATTTTCTAGAATGACGGACTACGGCTAGAATTAGTATAGTAATATACTATTTCATAGTCATTTATAACGCCATTTCATATAGTTGGGATGATCATTTACCTTCTATGGGTGTTATTGTTGTATCTGTTATCGAAACACCTGGTGTATCAGTACAGTAGCGTGCATTGCAAACTGGAGGTGCATCTAATTGATAAACATAATAAGATCCACAATTAGTCACAGCAATACTACTGTTCCGATAGCAATTGTTAGGTGCCGAATTAAAGCATACAGTTCCATTCATAGTTGTATCCACACCGGTGGGCATTTGCCCTGAATACCACCCTGATACGGTGGTATTACATCGACTCGTTGCAACTGGGCTTGTTGGTATTTGTGTACCACCTACACCAACAAAACGAACCCAAATTGCACCCGAACTGAAGAGAGTGTTATCACAATTATTACCACCGGTTACATTCACGCTTCTTGTAGGATCATTGATCAGCGTATAATTGTAACATTGAAAAGAGACTAGTAGTACGTTTGACGTTGTAGCTAAATAGAAAAGAAATAGTATTCAGATATAAAAGAAAATTAATCTATTATTAAAAATAGATATGTGACAGTTCCTCTTTTCAAGAATTATGTTGAATGATCCGTTCTTTTCTTATATATAAATGATTGCATTAACAGTTCTTTTTACATAAACTGGACCCAATCTTTATAAAAAAGAGTTCACTATTAGTTCTACTTCTTTTTGTATGATCTAGTGCGAGTCTTTTTTTACTCATACTGATTACAATTCTTTTTAAAAGAACTAGAACTCGGTTGGCGCTCCTTTCATAAGAACTAATCAACCGAACTAGTACAGCACTTTGATCAATTTTGCGATACAATTTTATTAAATTACATCAAATTCATTGCTTATTTACCTGGTATTTGTCCAATGATCATTAAAATAATCCATATATTTAAATTACCAAGTGATACCATTGTGAACAAATGAAATACTGACGTTTTCAGTTTATTCAACAATGATAACGGTAGCAAATATCAATTTGAAGAAATTCAAATTAAATACTTTTACCAATTGATTTTCTCGATTGAACAAAAATCAATGAAGGAAAATGAATGATTTCTCGTTTTATATATTTGCCTCTTGCTGTCTCTTATTCTCAAGTTGATTTACTCGGCTCTTTTGTTTTTCTTTCATTCAAAATCGATGATTTTATTTTAAAAAAATCACAAGGAAAATAAATCGGCAAGAATTAGATAAATATACTCTTTCTTTTATTATTTATCTCAATCTCAATAAAAAAAATTACTAAACAAACATTCGCTTCCTCTATAATATTATGAACGGCAGTCAACATATTTGAATTTAACTTTACATAATTAAAAAGATTCATGTTAGAAATGTTCTTTTTCATATCAATAAAGAAAGTTTTACTTATTGTATTGAACAAGATACCAACCTATCGAAATAAAACAATCATTGAGGAAATGTAATTGCACGTGCTGATCACAAAGTCATGCATAGAAAAGATGACGGTAAACGAATTCTTTTACACTTGTGACGGAAAAGAATTACCTTCTTTCGTCAGATTATTTTTAATCGTGCTCGTATATGTCAAAAATTTCTTAGGACATTTACATGTCCATTCCCAGTTCTAGAACTTTTGTGCGGTTCCTAATAATATTGTAATTTATCAAGCTAGAACATTTATCAGATCAGAAATGGTACTTAATGAATAAGATTGTGGTAAATATTGAGCACTGACACAATCTTCTACACATTTCAATGAACGCTCTACACTTTAATAAGCAGGCACTTCTCACTTAAGATAGTATTTAGAAATATATATTCTTGTCAGCTTCCTAAAACATCTTGCTAATAATAATTAATCCATGATACTTTTTAAATTCACAAAAACTTTTTTTTTGGCGAAACTTGTTCAAGAATTAGTAAAACACTTGTTTTTGTAAACGAACTTTTTCTTCTAAATCTTGATTTTATATCGAATATGAGATCATTTGTGTTATAAAATAGATGATATTGTCTTTTTACATATTGATTCTATCGTTCATTTTCCATTGACGTCATTCATGTAAAGACAAACAATAGTACGATAGAATAAGATTGTATGTTTTTCTTCGGAAACAACCCACACATACGTATGTAGAATAAACTTGATCGAAGAAACTATCAATCAACAATTTCTGAATAAATAATCACATTTTTTATGACCGGATGAACAAATTAATTAACAAAAATAAGATTTTTTTTCTCGTCCGATTATATTCAATTATTTTCATATAAAAACAAACAAATTCAAAAAAAACGATGCATTCATTCAAAATCAACACAATGGAGTGTCCTTATGAGTACTTTACTGATTTTTGTAAAATATCATACATAATGAAAGTTTGTGGAATGATGATGTGACACTTTTTTTCTCTACAAAAATGTAGATTTAAGTTTATCTTTACAAATAAAATAACAAGGAATACAAAAACGTAGTGAGAACACGACTAAATTAACAATGAATTATTCGAGACGTGCAAATATGCCAAGGTTGTAGATGTAGGTTAACAGAGTATCCACACCCTCCGACACTCACATTCTTATTTTTCGAGAACATACTGACAAGATCATCTCCAACTCTGATCTTGGATTTGAAAAATTTTTAAAAATACATGTGGTGTCAAAGAAGATAAATTTACTACCAAGATCCCCAACTTTAGTAAATTAATAGATCTTGATTATTTTGACAAACTTATGTACTTTTTGTTATTGTTATACCACAGCGAAGAATAGAGAGATAAATATAATTATCTCATTCTCAAGATCGGTAGATAACGATTGTCAAAAAACATTCTTTGAAATTCTTGCTAACGATAGTTTGTCTTTTTGGTATAAACTTCATATGAACTTATTGAAAACATTGTGATAAAAAGATACATTTCATCGTCTTCTCATCCTAATAAATAGACATTGTATGGTATATAGTTGATTTCTTTGTTATCGACTATTTAATGATGATCATTTGTTATTTTCGATTAATGCGGGGGGGGATTGATAGTTGTATTTTGAAAATGAAATATAAAGATTATAAATATTTATATGCAAATTCTGCATAAACCATTCTTTTATTGATCATAAAACTATGAAATTTAATTAAATAATACAATATCTTAAAGTACATGCTGAAGATACGTTACATAATAACACATCGATCAAGTCGACTGGAAACAAAAAGAAGAATCGTCGCTTTATCTTTCTTTTAAACTCAGTAACACATTCAATTTTTTCTATATTTACATCCAAGATATATCAAAAGTAACGACGGTGTTAATTTACTTCCTTATCACATCGTTCAACGAACCTTTTTTATATCTAAGTTGTTAAACGAAGTGAAAATTTGCTTTTCTATGATATTAATTCCGTTGTTATAAAAAAACGTTTTTCAATAACTTTTTATAGAAACAAAATAAAGAATATTATCAAGTGCGCATTCTAATTGCCAACTGAAGATCTACAAAACTATAGAATGTTCATATAGTTCGATTCAATTATTCACGTCGACTTATAGGTTAACTAGTCAAAGCTCTACGTCAATTTGTAAGCAACTTCTGTAAGAAAAAAATTAAAATAGAAAAATATGCAATATACAAGTGAATGTGTCTAAAATCGTAACTCTCAAGTTTATTTCTATTAGCAGTGATTGAAAAAATATCGATTTATCCGATTTTTTTTATTCAGCTAATAGTACGCATATTATTAAAAAAGGAAGTATTTTAGTCATTCGAGGTATTTCGCATGAATAACTCATTATTGTGTGCATATAAGATAAGCACGCGACTTCTTTTTCTTACATAAATAAGATCGTCGCATAATAGAACGAGAAAAACGTAGGTGAGTTATAATTAGAATAGGGAGAAAAAAAGATTACAAATTACAAAGGTGTAATTCGATTATAAAAGATTTTATTACCTAATTACACCTTTGTCGTTTGTAATCTTTTTTTTCTATCTTGTGTTATTACAACACATTATCCTTTTTCATATAACTTCGTTGTATTTTAACTAACGAAGATAATAGTAGTTGTCGGAACGTCACAATAATAAAAATGATGTATTCATCCAATTAAAACAAACAATAACCATTTATGAATAAGCTGATTCAATGATTATCTGTTCTTCTTCCTGATTATTTCAGTAGACGATTATTAATATTTACTCGATAATTTTCATTGTCAACTATCGTTGTGTAATAATCAAGTAATTTCTTTTATTATTAATATAAAAGAGAAGCATAGTAGATTAATAAATATTTATCATATGAATATATATATTAATGATTATTAACCCTGGTTTTTATTTTCAATAGAACAGCTTGCGATTACTTATGTTTTAATTTATGTTACAGCTTATATTGTAAATTTCAATTTATTTACAGATGCGTTCTGTAATGATGGTAGTGAAAATTTTCGCTTAGTTATAATTTAATAATTTATTATATAATTTTTTAGGAATTTTCTTCTCACTAGTTTTTGTAACGAAAATAGAATTCATTTTTTTTGGCGAGTAACTGTTATAATCATAAGCGACTCAGCTTATATTCGATTCTTCTGCTCTTATTTCATATAGTTTTATTTAGTTTTACTTTCCTGAAATTCTTTTTTCCGGAAAGATTTCTTGTGACACACGATCATTTCCATCACTTCTCTCCGTTAATTAACAATTTGATGAGTAAGTACTTTGTTAAATATTCCATTATAGAATTTTGACAGATGTTTCTGGGTTACGTATTCGTCTATTATTTGTTTTGTGGATAAACTTTTAGAAGAATAGAAAGAGAAAGTTTATTGAGTAAAGAAATTAGATCATCTATCTGTCAGTATAAACATAACATTCGTATAGTTTATTACAAAATCTAAAAATACGTATTAGGTAAGTATGGGTACTTGATATATTATATACGAGAAAATCTTTGTCGAAGACACATTCTGATATATCTATAAAATAAATACTATAGATTTCTTTTATAGATCTATTTCGAAACGATATTTATCTTGTTTACAATGCTAAGTTATGAACATCAATTAATTGGATTTGCACTCAATGTAATAACAGTGAGTGAAATAACAGTTGCGTATTTATTATCATTGATAATTATTATTATTATGATTTATAATTTCATTCGTAATCGTATAAAACGACAAGATAAAACAATTCTAATTCTTTCTCTTAATATTTATTTATGCAGTTTGATTTACATGAGTGTCTTTTTTGTATTAAATATTCTAACAATAATCGGTGATATTTATCGAAAAGAATTTGATTCACCTTGGTGTATTTTATTGGGATACATATACGCAGCTACACTTTGTGTTCTTTACATATCATTTATTAATCAGGTAATTAATATTTATATACATATATTTGATTGAGACATCAATATTTTATCTTTTTAGGCTTTTTTTCGTCTTTGTCGTATTATCTATTCTCAATACAAATATCTTCTATATTCATCGTTATATATTATAATATTTCCTATTGAAGTCATTCTTGCTTTTATTCTAGCATGTCCTATTTATATTTTAAATAATATTATCTATTTACCTAATTATCATTTTTGTTTTGTACCTATAAGTGATATTCGGGCTTATCTTTGGATCTTTTTTACTGTTTATGGTATTCCTGTTCTATCTATATTATTGATTTATTGGCGTATAACTGTATTCATTCGAAAACAATCTAATCAAACATTAAAAATCCGACGACGACAAACTCGAGATTTAAAAGCTATTCGAGGAATTCTTATTATTGTTAGTTTTATGATTCTTTTTGGACTGCCGACTTCATTTCTTATAGTAATGATGTTGATCACAGGTGAAGAACATCCGTTGACTTTTCGTATAACATGCATTTCAATTGGAACATCGATGGTAGGATTAAATATAGCAATGATGTTTTTTGTACCTCAGTTGAAAAATATGGTTTGGAAAACATTTAAAACAAAACGAGAAGTAACTGTTAACAGTAACCAAACAAGTTCGTTGCAAATGAGAAGTGGTAGTTCTATTGAATGATTCAAAGATGTCTTATAATTGATGACAAGAATTTATAATCCTGTTTGTTTTTTATCTTTATCTTCATTACCTCAATATATACTGTTATTTTTTCATAAACTACTTGTCAGAGTTATTAATGTATGAATATTTACTGTAGTAATCATTTCTTTATTCATTCGATTAAATAAATTTAATGTTGGTTAAGTTATGTTAAAGTCATCATTTATGCTTCATACTGAATTATCTATCCATCACCAATCATAAAAATTTCTGATAAATTTTTTCTCTTAAACAACATTTTCAGATAACATCTCAAAATCAAATGATCGATATACACTTTCGATTATTCATTCTTTAAATTTAATCTTTCTGAAATATATGGCTAGGCGCAATAAATTCTACATCAATTGAAAAAGCAAATCGAGATCTATCGAATGACATCAGTTTGAGTATTAGCACACGTCGTTGAGTGAACTGTCACATGTAAAAACTTATGTGAGTATCATGGGTTCAGATCTTGAGCAGTTAACTTCGTGAAACTGATGGCTTTCTTCCAAAATTGACACCGATCCATAGAATTTATCAAGATCCATCAAAAAAGAAAGGTAATTCGCTATTAATGCATGTTTACAAGTGAATTATCATATGACATAAGTTATGTTAGCATCATCTGAGTTTCAGATATATTGTGAAGTTGCTGGGGAATTTGTTGAGAAGATTTATTTCATGGCAGGATACATTTAAAGTTTTAGGGAGTACTTGATGTTATACTTTGACTCAGTAGGAAAGAGATACATATTATATTATAGAACTCGCAAAGCTGAGTCTGGAATAATAGTTGCCTTTGTTGGCGCAGGTATTAGAGTAAATTGGTCCACGAAATATTTTAGCGTTGCATATTTCCCTACAGTAGAAAGTACTAGTTTGATGTATATTCGCGTTTCTTCTCATGTATCGTGACAGATGGGATTATTATTCGATAGATCTTATCGAGATACATCTCGCACAATTAATGGATCGAATTGTTCTAGCAAAAACTGGAATCGGTTGCTGACTTCTCTTACATCTTTCATCCCATTTCGATTCATTTTTTATATGAATATAAATGATCATGAATGAGTGCAGGTATCGATCTGTTTTTTTGTTGTAATCCTTAACCACAATTTCCTTCATACAAACTTGTTTTATAAATTATCATCAAACCACAACTGATATTCAAGTTTATTTTTCAAAAAAGAAAACAAATTTACAGGAGAAATTTCAAAATATTTATAATTATTAGATCGATTTTTTCCATTAGATACCTAAGGAAAAACATGTGCACTAGCACAGGTTATTTACGTTTGCCAATAGTCACTCCAAAATCAGATAAAATTTCAAGAATAGCAGCAACTACTTGTGGTGCAAGATCTTTCATATTCGCAACAAGTTCTGGATTAGAGTCAGCATATTGTGCACATTCGTTGAATAGTTGATTAACAGCGGCAGGAATATCTAATTGTTCATTTAGAACAGCCTGAACAAGTTGAAAAGCTAAGTCGTACAATAAGTCTAATTCAGCTAGTGATAATTCATTCTGAAGATCAGTAGCAACACTGAACAATGTGTTCATCAAATCCTAGTCAAATAAAGAAAGTATTTTTATAAAAGAATAAGATAAACATCATTTAGATATTACTGAATATCGAGGGAACATAGTGTATAAAGTGTTTAAATTTAAGTTGCCCAACTGCAGTTGATTGATGAGATCAGAAAGATCGGTACGGTGACCATTCGATGCACGTTTGCCAATATTCAATCCCAAATTAGGTAAATCTGGAAGAATAGCAGCAACTATTTGTGATACAAGAGTTTGAATACTCTTGTAAAGTTGTGATTTAGGGTCTAGATATTTTCCAACTTCGCTCAATAACTTATCAACAGCTGTTTGAACATCTACTTTTTCGTCCAGACAGTCTTGAGCAATCTGAAGAGCTGAATTTTGCAGTGCCTCTAATTGAGATGATGAAAGAGCTTTGACAAGCTTAGCAGTAACATCTTTAATTTGATTATTGAATTTCTAAAACAAAAATCAGATTAATACATATAAAATTGCATTGACTTTTGTCGTTTACTTGTACTGATGGGTGTGAAACTATTGATACCATCAAACCATCCAAGTCAGAACTGACAGGTTTACTCTGTACAAATGTAATATCAACGAGAAATAGAAGAAGAACAGTAAGTCCAGTTGAAAGATGCATTATTGAAAAGAATACTTGTATTGATGTTGATTGAATAAGTGAGACATTCTTGATGGTTTTTATACTTCATTTGTACTGTGATTTAATACTACCATCTGGTGATATTTCTCATGTATCATATGATATAGTTTTGGTGGCGCGCACGTTCTAGTTATCAGTAATCATGTGATATTTGTTATCGAACACCTGATATTTTCTTCGTTTTGATCATGCATTCGCTCTGTGGGCTTAGAAAAGAAAGAAAAAGAGACCGAGTAATCCACAACAAAGTGAAAAATATTGTCTGTTTTCTTAAATGTTGATCATGGTCATGTTTTGTATAACTTAGGAATGAAAAGAGCTAGAGCTAGCCGCGGGTTTTACCATTAAAAAGAAGAGATATCGACATGAGAAAGCTGAATCTTAATACAATTTATTATAATGAAACGTTTTATTTTTGACAGCATGATATCAATAATAAATAAAAAGATTTTGTTATCATCAAATTTGTTAGTTCCAATGTAAATGATGCACACGACTATCATCAATATCGAGAGTGAATGATAGTCATGACGAATGGAAAACATATTTATATCATGATTTCGATCTTGATTCTTACTAATATCCTATCGAACTTACAAGAAAACTAGCAACGACGTTGAAGTGTAGATTTGGCTGCATTTTCAAAATGAGATGAATATTGTATTACACAGCAGTATACATGTGACGCATTTTATGTTATTTTATACAAGGTATACAGAGAAAGAAGAAAACGTGTTTCAAAATTTTGTCTCGATTTTGTTTTTGCTTTAATAATTATACTAATTAATCGTTATTACTAAAACTTTTACTGTTATGAATAATCGATTATGCATGCCTACAGTTTGATACAACTACGACAGAATTTAAAATAAAAATAAAATCATTTAATACGGGAGCAGCTATCAATAATTGTATGAATAACAGTTAACTATGATAATCTCTTCACAACGACATCTGGCAACAACTGTTTTCATCCTCAACATGCATGTTTTCACAGCGATTATATCGTTAGTTGGCCATGCTATTCTTATATTCACACCCATCGTCAATTTACACATCATGGAAGCGTTAAGAATCCGAGATGCAATACTTCTGATTCTTTTTAGCTTGTTCTTCATAATGCGTGATTCACTCTTAGAAAACGACAAAGTATTATTCAGACATGAGTCATGCATGAGACAGAAAAAGAGGTATACTTTTTTCTCTTTTCCTTCGCATGTAATAGACAGAACAAGGAATATTGCACAATTCATAAGTAATCGCAATTCTTTCATAACAACAAATACTACACATACGCCGTCGATGATAACAGAAAATGTAAGTTTCTTTATGCTTGTTTTTTTGAATAACTATGAGACGACATTAGTTTCCAATTAAAATGATTTTTATTGAAATGCATTGTTCACAGATGTGGCGATGAAAATGATGATTCACTTATCATCTTTAGCGTTACTCTCGCCGTGACCTTCGATATGATAACTAGGGATGTACAAAAGTACTCTAATCTTTTATAACGACTTCATTTGTAAAATAAAATAGTTTTGTTACGATCGACATACTTTTATGAATATGTATAGAACTAGCATTATTAGATTATCACGATGATTGTCTCATAAATCTGTCGAGTATGCTAAACAGCAACCGATACAAACATATTTACAGAGCGATTATTACATATAAATATTAACAAATTTTCTTTGAGGTAGCATCAAGTATGTAGCTAAGATTCGAATCGAAAAATATTGCATCCGCTGAGTTTTCAATTGTAAATAAAAATAGCTGATATTCAGATCTTCTAAACATGCTAAAATAAGAGTAGCTATCTAATTCGAATTCGAATTATAGTTAAAATAAAACTAACTGGGGTCGATATCGGAACCATTTTTTCTATCTGATAACTATGAACTAGTTAGTCATTCTTCTTAAAACGAGTTACTCGAGGTAAAAAGAAAGAACTTCAATACATTATTAGACAGACTACTCTGAAGTGAAAGACGTACTCTCATAGATAAAACTTAAATTTATTTTACTACTTAGAAAAATACGAACAGCAATATTTTTACGAAACCGAGTTTTTGGGAATGCGATAATTGTAAGCGTATTCTAAAACATGGTGAGTTTCGTTTCAACTGTATTGTTTGTCCTGACTATAATCAATGTGAGACATGTGCGGTAACAAATCAACCATCTCATGAACACCAAATGGTTCGTGAAATTGCATATGGTTATGTTGAAGCAGTAGAATGTGCTGGCGAAGATCTAGCAGCTCGAATTCATGTTGCAATAAACACATATCAAGATCGATTTTGTATGGGTACACGAGATATTAATCCAAATAATTCTCAACATTATACAGATTCATATTCATGGCAAACATTCAAAACAATTGGTGAACGAATAATAAATTTTAGTCATGGTCTAAGACGTTTGATTAAACCACGTGATTATATTGGTATTTGTGCGGCAAATCGACCTGAATGGTTAATAACTGATTTTGCTTCTATTTTACAAAGTTTTGTAAGTGTACCCATCTATCGTCTTTTCACTGATCATGAAATAAGTTTTATTATCAATAATACACTCATATCCGTCATGGTTTGTGATAAAGAAATGTTACCAAGACTCATTCAATTACATACTGAATGTCCATCACTTCGCCATATTGTCTGCATGGATTCAATTCCTTTGACGATGCCGAGTAAGTTGAAATATTTATTTTGTCAGTTCATGTTCATATATAAAAACAAATTGGAAATTTAAAGTGATTCTGTTGTTTTAGAAACAAATGATCTTTCGATTCATGAAATGAACGCCATCGAAAGATATGGTTCAATCAAACGACACGAATATGTTCAGACTAAACCTGATGAGTGTATTACTATTATATATACAAGTGGCAGTTCAGGATTTCCTAAAGGTGCTATGATTTCTGAAAAAGCATTTAGAAGTAATTTTCCACAACCAAATTTATCATTTCGAAATGAACCAGTAAAACTCTGTTATCGACCATTATCGTGGGCTACTGATCGTCAGAGTTCTATTGGAGTATTTCTTGCAGGTGGGCGTATTGCATTTTCAACAGGTGATGTTACTCATCTAATGGAAGAAGTATCTTTAGTTAGACCAACAAGTTTTTCTGGTCCACCGACTATTTGGAATAAAATCTATTCCGAATATAAAACAACTCTTGCTCTGATGACGATAGACCAATCAAATGCTGATATAATAGCAACAATTGAAGAAACTCTTCTCCAACAATTCGCCAAATTAATTCCAATTCGATGTAAATTAATTGCTGTAGGTGGTTCTATGATGAGTCCAGTAGTATTTGATTTTATGAAACGTTGTTTTCGACATTGTGAAATAATGGAATCATATGGAACTACTGAATCCGGAGGTATTACATATGACAATCTACTTGAAATGAATATTAATTATCGTCTTGAATCAGTTATAGAAATGGGTTATACACTTGATGATAAACCATTTCCAAGAGGAGAATTATTAGTAAAAACATCTACCATGTTTTCAGGATATATAAACAATTCTGATGAAACGAAAATGGCTTTAACTGATAATGGATTTTTTCGTACGGGTGATATAGTTGAACTACATTGTATGGATGATGGACAAATTAATATACGTATTATTGATCGAAAGAAAAACTTTTTCAAACTTTCACAAGGACAATTTGTATCACCAGAATTTCTCGAAGGCATTTACAGACAAAGTCCATTCGTTGAACAAATCTATATTCATGGTCATCCTTTAGAAGATTCCGTCGTAGCAGTGATAGTACCAAACAAAGAATATACTCGATTATTTGAAATTAAACATAATTTAACTGAATTAAATGATACTATTATGGAAGATTTACGATCATTAGCTACAAAAGAATCACTTCGAAAATATGAAATTCCATCACGATTAATTATCGATTTTGAACCATTTACGTCGGCCAATGGTTTATTAACATCATCCATGAAACTTTGTCGTTATCGATTGGCTGCTCATTATAATGATCGATTAAAAATGACGGAATCAATTGAAAATCGTTTACAAAATTTAATTGAAAGAGCAATAGAACATCGATTATCAATAGATCAAACAATGAACTTGATATCGATCGGTGGTGATTCTTTAGCTATGGTACGTCTCTCTCGTATGATCTACGATGATTTAGGAATATCTATACCATTAAATATACTTTTTCAATCTAATATGACAATAGAAAATCTTGCAAATATCATTAAAAATCCATCTGAAATCTGTTCATTTTCTGATTCGATCATAACACAACTATTAAATGATTCTGCCGAACAATTCAATATAAAGATTGATAAACAGGCGAAAACAACGAATTCACCTTCTGCTATTTTTATTACAGGCGCTGCTGGATTCGTTGGTGGTTTTCTACTAGCTGAATTATTAAAAATATATCCTACTGATTGTCAATTGATATGTCTTGTACGATGTGATACTATGATAAATCCATTGGATCGTATTCGAGAAAATCTGACTTTTCTTCTATTATGGAGTAAAGAATTTGAAGATCGTATCGTTGCATTACGTGGTGATCTTGCTGAACAATATTTTGGACTTGATTATGAAATATATTGCAAATTAGCTAATCAAATAGATATTATTTATCATTGTGGAGCTTCGGTTAATTTTATACTTCCCTACAATAAACTTTACAAATCAAATGTTTATGGAACTGGTGAAATAATTCGTTTTGCAACTTACAATGATCGATGCATACCAGTACATTACATATCTACTATGAGTGTATTACCTTTGGGAATGATAGATGAAATACATATTGATGAAATCTCTCCACATCATTTAAAAAGTGGTTATGCACAAAGTAAATGGGTTGCAGAAAAACTTATTGCAAATGCTAATCGTTCTGGTCTACCAGTAATTATCTATCGACTTGGATCAATTTGGGGTGATACAGAAACTGGTGCTTGTAATCAAAATGATATATATACATTATTATTAGCTGCAATTATGAAAATAGGTTGTTATCCAACAACATCTACTGATATTAGACTAAATGGTTTACCGGTAAATTTAGCTGTGCAAACTATTGTATCGTTAAGTCGTAATCAATCAAATTTGAATGGAAAAATTTATCATATTATTCCATCGGATGAAGGAATATCATTTCAAAATATAATTGAAACTATTCAGCATTGCAATGTTACAGTTGACAATGTTTCATACGATCAATGGAAAATTCAACTAATGAAACAATCAACAAAAAAACATTCATTCGAATCTATTGGAGAATTATTCTCAAACAATCCATTTGAACAAATAACATCGATAAAATCAGCAACTGATCATGTATTTCAATTGACATTTGCATCTATCGATCAAGTTTATATTATGAAATGGTTAAAATTTATATTGAATAATATTGTTTATCAAAATGTTTCATCTTCATCCGATAATAATTTCCCCGTGCTTTTCTATACTGAATAGACTTGTTTTCTTTTAATGTAAAGATGCTCTTTAGATTAATATGATATTCTTGATTATTATTTATTGTACTTAAGAAGAAAAAAAATAGGAAAAGGTTAGAAATGTGCGATACAATTTGTTAGTAAAAAGAAATAAAAGAAATTATAATGTTTTTTTTAAATAGTTCATATGTGTACACATCTCACTTATTGTGTACAGTATCGATAAGCACAACCTCCGGGTCCAAATAACCCGTGCACATAAAACCCATTGCAATTAATTATGATATTCCAATAGACATATCCAAAACATGGATTACCATTGTATGCAAAACAAGCGAATGCATTTACACTTTGTCCAACAACTGCAGGGTATGTCGCATTGGTCCAGCCTGATGCATACGTTCCACATACATTTCCATTACCTGAATTTGGTGGTGATGTAGCTAATTGTGTACCACCTGGACTTACAAATCGAACCCATGTTGGACTGTTTGTACTAGTACTACTAAAGACATTTTGATCACAACCGGCTGCTGGTCCTGCTGTAGTTAAACGTGTTGCATCGCTAATCGTTGTATAGCTATAACATTGTGATGGTAATGTTGTAGTTGTAGTAACTAAACGAAAAACAGAATAAGTGTTCAAACTTCTGCTAGTTCATAATTCAACTTTTGCGTTAATTTACCTGTTTTTGTTGTTGTTGTAGTTGGAGGAAACAACGTTGTAGTGGTCTGGAATAAAGTACTGGGTACAGTTTGTACCGATGAATACGATGTTGAAAGTGCTAATCCAATACGATTATTTTGCATATCAAATACACTGTAGAAACGTCTCATAAAAAAATCACCAAGAATCCAAATTGGATTGCCATTTGCATCGTTTTGATCGATTGATGTTATTAAGCTATAACAAGTGTATCCAGCAGAATTACCTACGATTTCAAGGTACATTAATGGTGTTAATACAAATGGAACACCACTAATTGTAACTGTAATATTTGGAAAAGCTGACAAGGGTTTTGTTTGACAATTGACAATGGACTAGAATAAAATGATAAAAATTTTAGTATAAAACTCTTGTTAATCGGTGGAGCAAATATAAATGTTTCTTACCCATCCGGTGTTTGGATCGTATGTAGCTCCTAATAATGTATTTATCATATTGAAATAAGTTGTTGGAGCCACAATGGCAGCTGTCGTTCCCGTATCCAGAATAGCGCTAATTGACTTAGCTATTATATTTGTAGTTGATCCAGTTGTTAAACTAACTCTGTCAGCAACGAATTCCCAAAAACCAGGTACACTTACTGATGCATATGTAAAACAGCCTGTGTATTTTGTTGTATCGTAACCACCTAAAATCAATTCACCTGTATCGGAACCAGTCGATATTCTGATGAATAAAAAAATAAGTATTTAAAAAATGTCTTTTGATGTTAGCAAAATATCTACTTACGGTCCAAACCAAAAACTAAAAAGTGGAAGACTCAATTCGCCAGCCAGATACATTGACCATATTACTGGGAGTTCACCACCACTGGCAATGCTCTGATAACCCATACCAAGCATTCCATCAGCTGTCCTCGTACTAAAACCTTGAGCTGAAGTAATCATGGCAAAAGATTGATTGGCAATGGATACACCACCAATCTGAAAAAAATATGAGATAAAAGACAATATTTTAGAAATTTCATGACCAAGTCAAAAACTTCTACATACAGTAACTGTATCATTTGCAAAAGTTCCATTAGCATTACTACCATCACCGTAATGAATGTAGAAATTTTTATTCCATGCTCGATATGTAGACGATAGGCCACTGTTAAATGTATGATTACCACCTAACATTAGAAACCAAAAGTTAGCGTTTACTTGTTAAAAAGAAAACTTTCTATCTTACCGCATGAACTGCCACATTGTGTGCTTGGTACCCACAAATCAGATGATCCTGTGTCAAAATCAACATTGAATATTTGAGCGGGTGAACCAATTGTTATTTGGCCCATCCAATACGTCTGTGAATAGAAAAAAAATAGAGAATTTTCTAGTAAATATTAGAAAAGCTGAAATACTTACTCCCCAATTTTCATCAAGCAATGATTCAGTCGATGTAGTAGGTGAAGCTGATCTTCTTCTTTTAGTACCTGTAGTTGCTGTGTGATTATGTTTCTTATGACATTTATAACTGTCAGTACTATTGCCACATTTACGACTGACTTTCTGCATTGTAATACTGACAAAAAGAATAGAAATAAAGATTATGACCAATACAAATGCTGCAAAAGACATACCGTTTAATTCCATTATTGTTGGAAGCATGCGTACTTGCACCACCGACAGCCGCCGTAGCTGTACATAAATTAAAAGTTAAAATTCCCAGTAATACTGGTAATACAGATACTAGGAGAAACTTATTCATGATAATGCTCCACGAATACTGAGTAACAAAATATGAATGAGACTCCCGTTTATATACATGCACATAATTAATGGGCTGTTTTTTTCTCTCGTCACTTAATTATCGATATTTTTTTATTTGCAGACTACTTCCTTTTGAAATTAAATATTAGTAATGCACTTTTTTTCCAACATAATATCTGTGTTAATATCGTCATGCTGACTAAAAAAATTACATTCAATTGAAAAAAATAAAGCATATTTTTTTCGTTAATTATTTTTTTCATAATCGATAATGATAGATCAAATCAATATTCTGATTTACATGAGTTGAATGAATCAGAAAGGAAGTGATTATAATCGGAGGGGTATTTTTTCGGTGTCTACCGTCGTCGCAGTATGTGACGAGCAGACGTAAACATCAATGTACTTTTATTAACGAGGTACCGGAGTGAAGTAAAGGTAAGATCAAATCGTCGCTCTCTCATTTCTTTTTATTTCTTAAAAGAAAATGCAAACAGATAGATACTCGTATGTACATTAAATTATTCAACGAATATGTAAGTATAGTTTACGATGTTGGTATTTATCTTGCTTCTTTTATTCATGGAATTTTACTTGAATGTATCCACAAACTGAAGCAGTCTCGAAGTTATGTCGGGTTTCAACACTAACAAATTTTTTTTTGATTTACACAATAAATAAATAAAGAATATAATTTCCTCATTGTAGAGTAGTATTTATCCGATGCTTCAATATTCAGTTTTTAGTCAAATGCGTAATAAAAATGAACAAAGAGAAAATAAATATTCAAGAAAACTGAAACAATTAGGACAAGTAAATAAAACACGAGATGATAATAATATAAACCATTCAAATTGTAGTATAGAATGGTATCTACTACATTGATGAGTCAATAAATGTTGAAAGCATAATTATTTTTCACAGAATATTTTACTGGTATAAACGATTCAATAAAGTGATAAAAATATATTTACGCGTGTTAGTGAGTCACTATCTAGTTCATTTATTCAAGCATATAAACAAGCATACGATTGAATATATCCTTCGTGAATGCGTCATTTTTCATGACTGCAATTGAATACATATCATTCTTAATTATCTTGCATTTACGTATACATTTTATCAGTCTGAGCGTCAATCATGTGTATGTCACACGTGACAAGAGAATAAAGGTGAGATTAGAATCCGCAAAATAATAAAATACAAAAAAATGAATAAAGCTATAGAAATAACTAAATAGTATTCATTGAATCATAATCAATTGTAAACATACGAGATGAAAACATGTCGATTTCTTTTTATTCATTAATATAAAATAAAAATAAAAAAATTTCTTTTGTATATATTTCATTCTAAAGAAAACTTTATTATGTTTATTACATGAATGAATGAATTCATAATTGTATAAAAATGAGTACCTTTATGTCATGTCACATCATATTTATTTTGAACCTTAACATAATTCGAATATATACGTAAAGCAGAAATTGAAAGTCTATAAAAAAGTATAGATTGTAGTTGCTTGAAATATTCTTGTTTTCTTAGAAAAATATGCAAAGAAAATGGTTACTGTTGTGTATATTTCATTAGATTTTCATCATTATCCTAACTCACTTATTATAAAAAATTCAATTCAAAACGTTAGCAAGATTATATTATATATCCTGGAAAATTTACTCTTGAAGCCAATTCAATGTGCGCATGTCTCGATGATTTAGAATAAATCTTCATTGTATAAAAAGAAAGAAAAATATTTTCGAATTCGTTTTCATCAATCATTCGTGATGTCCTGCTGTTCCATAGATTTGCAAAAAATCTCATTCTCATGAAAAGAAAGACATTTCATATTGCGACGAAAAAATACTCTTAAATGTGGAAGTCGTGGTCTGATATAGCCAATTCTTGATCACAGATTGTAGTATAGATGATATGGTCGCTATGAAGGATGTGTGTTGAAGCAAATGTGATTGACTGTTATTCATATGATTATTGATAACTACTCCCGTACTAAATAATTTTATTTTTATTTTAAATTCTGTCGTAGTTGTATCAAATTCTAGGCATGCATAATCGATTATTCATAACAGTAAAATTTTTAGTAATAACGTATAATTAGTATAATTATTAAAGCAAAAGCAAAATCGAGACAAAATTTTGAAACTCGTTTTCTTTTTTTTCTCTTTACTATATATAATAATATAGAATGTGTCACACGTATGCTGCTGTGTAATACAATATTCATCACATTTTGAAAACGTGGTTCGAATCTACATTTCAACATCTTTGTTATTTCTTCTACAAATTCGGCAGAATCGAGGTGATGATCAAAGTCGAAATGATGATGTAGATATGCTCTTTATTCGTCACCAGTCTTACAATTACACCCTCACCCTCAAATTATGTTTTTTTTCAAAAATTTGATCCAAACTTCTTCTAGTATAATATTTATTATTGATAAAACTTATATGTCAGCCGTTGATTTATTTTCCTATCAATTGTTGACACCAACATTTTTTTCAGTGTTCTGCATCAAAAATACTCCACGTAGTTTTATTCAAAATAAGAAAATGATGATTATCGAACTAAAATTCTTCTTCTATTTTACTGAATCTAAAAACGTTTCTGCACACTTCTTCTCGATCATTAACAAGATTGTCATGCCGTTAAATATAACAATTAATAACTGCATCCTTGAGAATTTCAACAAAATCTCATAAATCATCCGATAAATATATTTTATTTTTAGATATGAAGAATAAAAGAACAAAGAAAAATGATAATCATTTTGAAGAATTTTTTTTTATTAAGAGTTTATAGTTTTTGCAGTTAAGTTCACAACTGCAGAAGTCTTCACGGTTTTGCACTATTTCGTAAAATAATTGATGTTTGTGTCATATTTCTTGGCAGCTTCTCGAAATAAGCCTTTGGCATGTCAAATGAAGCAGCCAATATACCAGTAGGTATTCCATTCAGTGCAGCAACAATTCCAATATCATCAGTTGATACAGCTTTGCCAGAGTTAAATACAATTAAAACTATCAAATCTTCGTTTTCATTAGCATTTGCAAAATAATGGAACCAGGCTTGTTGAACAAAGACAAGATCACCAGTTTTAGCTACAAATGAATCATGTTGACCATTAGTTCCAACAATACTCCACTTAGCTTTACCTAAAAATGCAAAAGAAATATTTCTTATATACAATTGTAAACTTTGTGAATGTTAATTCTGTAATCATATTGCAAGATTTCACAATGTAGATATGAATAGAATACATCTACAATCTCTCTTTTAGGCATGTATTTTCTTCAAAAAAAAGAAGGTGAGAAAACATTCACATCCCGTGCTATCGTCATATGTTGATGAGATGACTCTTCAAGATTGATACACTTACCACTGAGAACATAATTCATTTCCCAAGCAAAGGGATGCCAGTGTGGTTGACGAATACCACCGGGTTTCAAAGTTATTATTGCCATTGATCCAAATTGACCTTGCAGTATTGGAAAATTATTCTCATTGGCTTGTCGTAAACTACCACCTGCATACACAGTTGCGTCTGAGTTGTCTAAATTAAATAAATTCGCATGTTTTGTAGATTGTTGTGAATTAACCTAGAGATAAAGAAAAGTTTTCCATTGAGAGTTTTTTTAGTTATATATATACAAAGTAATAACTTACCAAAAGAATACCAGCAATGCAGAAGAAGAATCCAATGTAGGACAACATTGAAGAAAAATAAAATTATAATGTAGACGAAAAAATATCTAAAAGAAGAAAAAAATAATGTTATGTTAGCTGGTGGATGCTGCTCCTCATTTAATTAGTAACCGAAATTACTCTCTTCTTGTTCACTCTAAAATGCCCACTTGTGTGATAAACTACCTCGAAGTATATATGAATGCTAGTTGTTCATCCGAGGTTCGTTTGAGCCAGGCTTGCCAAATCCAAATTTGAAAAATCAGAGAATTTTGAATATAACTTACAATTTCTATTAACAGACTTCGTTGTTTACTGTGAGAGATGACGAGATCTGATGACGCAGATTATGAAATATCTAAAAAATCTTGAATATGTATGACACTATTCTACTTACTCTCAAAGTTTATGCTGATGATGTTTTAGCAACTATACTAGGTATAGTTATTGGTAGAATAAGAATAATATTTTATATAAAATGCCGGGGTTTAAATAGTTTCGAAAACATGTGATCTGATAATGGTGACATGTTTAGTGTTTCAGTGATTTATTTCATCTTGTGATGATACTAAAAAAATGTTGGTCAATAATCAACAATATAATCATTACTGCTTTCCTGATAAACGATGAAAGATTTATGACTTTAGAGCATCTAAGGAATATTTTTTTTTCAAAACTTGAGAAAGATAATAAATCTTTGTTAATAAACATGTCTAAAATGGGGAAAAACCGTTATTTTCTTCAGTGGACGACACTGAATATGAAAATAAGTCAAAGATATGTAGAATTTGTTCTTTTAACTGAGAGATTTTGTTTGATAGATAGAATAGAAAGTAAAATATTTTCTTGTTGATTGAAATATTCACTGAGTAACAATTAATCTCTTCTTTTCTACCTAAAGTTTTTCTAAGATGAAAATATTATCAATGGTCAAACAGAAAAATACTAAAATCAGAAGGTTTGACAACCCTGGCGTTTACGCTGAATATACGATACAAGATTCCGAATTTTTGAAAAATAGAATATAACAGCAAGGCACAGAAAGACTGAATAAAAATAATTAAGTTCTGTAATGAAAGTAATTTGAAAATCTAGTTTTTGAATATTTTCAAGCTCGTTTGTAAATAGTACGTTCAACTATGGAAAAGTGTATTTTGTTTGAAAATGTGAGAATATTTTTTAGATGAATTCTCGTTAAATTGAATTATTTCTATGAAGAAATTAAAATAGTATTATTTTCAATAATTATTGATTAATATAAATTTATATGAAAATAATTTATTTTTTATTTTTATTAATAAATCATATATTGATATATAAGTTTTATGATAAGAAGAATTCATGAATAGATATTTATTATTTTGTAGAATTATAAACATTGGTAATGATTTAAATAAAGCAAAAAACCCAAATATCGAAAACATGAATTGATGTCAATGAAGGATTTAATGATATTGTTTAAAAATAAAAGATTATTAAATTAATCAATTACAGGACTTTTATGTTTTATAAATATTGTTATTATTTCATTCAACAATGCTGATAATTATTCATATAAATTGATTCAAGATTTAACCAATTATATTAAATTTTATCGAATTATTTAAAATTTTATTACATAAAAATGATTTTATATAAACTATTATATTTATTTGAAAGTATAAGAAAAAAATTGGAGTGTGGATGTTCTCTTTAACCACACTCAGTATAGATGATGAATAATAGCTCTGAATTGATGAATTTTTATAATAAGTGAACTAACGAAGTCAAATTTATGTTCAAGAATAGCATTATCATTTTTTTTTCTTCTGATTTGTTGAGAATGATATTTCTTTTATCGAGTCATAGATACAAAGAAAGAAAAAATTATTTCAAGAAAAACAAAAAGTTATCGCCTGTCTGTTTTTTGTGCTAAAGTTGATTTATTAGTGCGTAACACTGACAGAGTTATCCAAGCTTATTATTTTCTTTCCTTCGACAATTAATTGAAAGAACAAAACAGAAAAAGTAGATTAATGCCAAAGAATTTGTACTGAAAAGCCATACTATCAGAAAAATAATATTAAGCGTGTCACTTGACAGTAAGTCATCTGTCATATACGTTATGAAGGAATAGACAATACAGAACATTTCTTCTACATACATATACATTCAAGTAAATATCAAGAACTCTGCTAATTATCACTAAATATCTTAATCCGTTGCATATACATACATCAAAATACTTTTATCTAAAGTAACAGAAGCACATGTCGTGCTTATAGATTCAATTGTATAGAAAAACGCACGAACCCAATCTTGTGCAGTTATTTTTACTTCAAGTTTCAATGTCAATTGGTTTTATTTATTTTATCAGATATGCCGGCGTCTTCGTCTCTTTCATTACTATTTATAATAGTTTACTTGTGTTGTCTAACGACTTTTATGAGTAAGTCTTTAAAAGTAACAGAGGAGAACTGATACCTAACTATTTTCACTGTATGTTACCGGAAATAAATAAAGAGTGTTACGCATGCAAAGAGATGATATTCATATTGACTATCTTTCATAACTTCCGATGTGTTTATGGACAGGATTCTCGCTCTTCGCCAATACTGATAAAATCGAAGTAACATTTTTATCGTGTATCCTAATACGTATACTCAAAATATATTTGATTTACGATTAGATCAGATTTTCGAGATAATATGGTGCTAAACAATGTAGTAATAAGAGAATAAAATAAGATTAAGATAAACATAAAAATTTCATTAAGAGTAATTAATCCCTATCCGGTTTTCAAGTCGATGATGAACAGGATGAATCATATTTCGGAACATTATTTTCGTTTTTCTAGACCAATACGTTCACCGTCACAAGGTTCACAGGAGACATTATACTCGTATACTTGATCCGTCAAAATGTTCTTGATGTAATCATCTAGCTAAAAGTCATGTGACAAAAGATCTAGTGGATATGGTTTTATCTCATTACCATCTTCTGTTAAATAATCAATCATGTCTCGATATTTAGGGGGTCAACCATTGTCATAAAGCAACTCAATATAGTCTTTGCGTGACGGTTTTCTTCGTTTTGGTACTTCATTGATAACAGACTTGAGACAATGTTCAGTATAATAGTGATCGATAGTCTTGTCTTTATGTACAATTTGTATAAGAATAGAATTAGTTGATTTAAAGAATAAGACGTTGCTTGACTTCTAAAATACTTAAGGTATACTCTAAAGATTATATATTTTTGGTTAACAAGCTCGACAAAAGGTCAATAGATGTCTGAAACGACTTTTTATAGGAAGCTTTTATAAGAAAAAAAAACTTATTTTATTTGAATAAATGGTATTATAGTGAATAGGTAGTTGAACTACTTGTTTTCGTTCATGTTGATGATCTTTTTTCGACAATGATCTTAATATTTTAAGGTTCAAGCAATGGTCATATTTCCTGGAACGGGAACTGGGCGTTTGGTTGTGATTTTCCCGGTAACAACATCACTTCGATGAAGACGCGTGCCGAAGATTGTAGTTCAAAATGTACCTCTATAGCTAAATGTTCTCATTTCGCCTGGCATTCAACTGAAAGTGGAACATGTTGGCTAAAGCAGGGATTAATTTCTAAGAATCAAGCAATTCCAACATCTGATCCGAATAGAATTTGTGGAATACGTGAAAATTCTAGAAGAATCACTCCACCAATTCCAGAGCCCAAAGGTAATGTTTAAAGAAAAGTGAGTGATCTCGATCTAACGTGTTTGTACTCGCATTGATAACGACGAGTGCTGTTCAATTTTTCCTTACCCGTTGATCTACTCATAGATAGTGCATGCAATCGAGTAACGAATATGATTGAAATTCCAGAGTGGATAAAAGATATGTTTAACATATTCGAACAACATACCTTGAATGTATTATAGCTTTTAAAAACTATTATTTCTATTAAAACTTACTTCTTTTTTTGTGGTAAATCTTCTCACCAAATATTATGATATCAATACTATAGCTCTATTCATCTAGGTTCAAAAGTAAGTAACTGTATGGGCTAACGATCATATTGATATTAAGGTTTTTGCTTTGTTTTTGTAGGAATCACGTGGAGAAAAGGGCGATAGAGGTGAGCGACAAAATGACAATATCACATGAAAAAATAATTATTCATTGTAGGTGATCCTGGAGTTCGTGGCGAAAAAGGAGAATCGGTAATAGTAGTTGTCTTATAGTTCAAATGCTTGAAAAGAATTTCTCTTTCTAGGGAAATGTTGTTGCATCGTCATCTGATTCTGCTTGGTAATTACTTGTAATAGGTTAAAGATGCTGATTAGCTACAATTTTTTTCAGTCTTTCGCTAACAAATATCAACGAACACATGGTCAAAGTGACCAAAGAAGTTGAAACCATCAAACAACAGATGATGCTAGTAAATGGATTTCAACTCACTATCGAGAAGCTTGTAACAACATTACAGCAGCAACTAGAAAAAAGTAAGTGTACCATTATAACGTTTCAAAAAGACTTTTAATTATCATACATTTGATTGATTGTTAACAGCTAATGATCATATTTCTCAACCGAATGATAATGACTTTTCGCCACCAACAAATGTGTGGTGTCCATGGCGATCAGATAGTTGCACAGAGAAAATTATACGACCGGGACAGATGACCATTGTGATGGAACAAGAAGTATCATTGCCATTCGCACTTTATTTATCAGCCAGTAACGATCCAAACGATAGTCGCTATGTAATTCATTTTTCAATCGATAAATATCGTGTGAAAATTGGTAAAACAGTCAATGGTATCACTACCATTATAAATGAAACAATTCACCATGAATATATTTTACAAGAAGGGAAAAGTAAATTCGATAGAATTTTAATACTGAACATAAAAAAATTGTCTGTTCAATTGTAGATATATACTGGCTCAGCATTGATCATGTAAATTTATTTATTAAGTATGGTCATGGTGAAGTAAGAGATCGATCAACATTGCTCAAAAGTGGTGTATCCCTAGAAGAGAAGAATTCAGTTGGACAAATTCAGTATGTTCACGTCTCATTCAATGGCAGTCGTATATTGTCTGAACTTACGCGGTATGAAGATAAGGTGAAATTCAAAATTGGTCAGTATCCTGTGGTCTTAGACCCACCATTATTAGTTGCAAACACGACAAATCTAGATCATTATCTCCACAACTCGTTTATACTTTTATCTCGCTTAAAGGAACCGTGTCAATCGTTATATCTTGATATTATCGGTTGGAAATTTCAAGACGATGCTTTTCCTCATCTATATGAAGCTATCGAATACAGTATTCGAAATGAATCAGGCTGGTGTTATAAAACACTGAGAAAAAAGGCATCGACATTTGGTGTATCAGATATTCATGCTACTTACTTGAGAATTACTATAGGCTCAAATATGGGTACTTCACCAGGTGTTCCCTATGTTCTTGAAATTTGGCCGCCAGGTCATTTTAGTCCTATTCATTCTCATGCCAGCACGTATGGTATTATTCGAGTGCTCCACGGTGAAATCAATGTAAAAATTTATCGAACATTGAGCCTGAAAAAAATGAAACACATTCATGAAGCAACATTCTACGAAAATCAAGTTACTTGGCTTTCACCTGGTTTGAATCAAGTGCACAAACTAGAGAATAAGTCGCCTAATAAATCATGTATTACTATTCAAGCATACGAATACATCAGTGATGAAGTTAATCATTATGAATTTTTTGATTATATTGACAATAATGGATCATCAATAAAAAATTTTAAACCTGTTCCAGATCTAGATTACACAGAATTCAAAAATATAATGATCACCGAATGGAACAATAGAAATTAGCTGTGTCTATGACGGATAATTGAATTCAATAGAAGAACATCAGTTACAAAAGAATCCATATTATTTAGTGTGATGATTTTCAAAGACTCTCATTTCAATATATCTTATAACCTTTGTTGCAATGCATGCTATTTTTTCATATATCCATAAAAACCCTTTCTCACCTCTTTTTTTAATTCTAGCAACTAAAAAAACAATTGAAAAACAGAGAAATTTAATCTGATAGTCTCAACTCTTGCTTTTCAGCCATTAACTAAGTCAAATTAATGAGCACATCAATTAAAGAGATGTAGAATTAATTTTTTCAATACATTTTATGTTATTTATTTGAAAATTTGAACATTCGTCAGAGCTCTACTTTATAAATTCCAAAAGAACAGAAATAAAAAAGGAAGAGGATTAGTAAAAAGTTGAATAAGAAATAAAAAGGCAATAATAAAAAAATTATTAAAACGAGTTATAAGGGTGGGTGTGGGTGTATGATTAATACAATATTCATCCTCACAACCACACTCACCAACACCCTTAGCACTACTTTTTCAATGTTTATTGTTCCATTCCTCCATGATTATTTTTTTAAATTCAAAATAATCTATATCTGAAACAGGATCGAATACCTTAATATCTTGTCCATCATTTGTAATATAGTCGAAATATTCATAATTAGTAACGTCATTAGCGACATATTCGTATGCTTGAATAGTAATACACGATTTATTAGGCGACTTATTCTCTAGTTTGTGCACTTGATTCAAACCAGGTGAAAGCCAAGTAACTTGATTTTCATAGATTGTTGCTTCATGAATGGGTTCCTTCTTTTTCAAATTCAAAGTTCGATAAAGTTTCACATTCACTTCACCATAGAGCACTCGAATAATACCATACGTGTTGCCATGAGAATGGATAGGACTAAAATGACCTGGCGGCCAAATTTCAAGAACATAGGGAACACCTGGTGAAGTACCTCGGTTTCGACCAATAGTAATTCTCAAATAAGTGGCTCAAAGATTCCGTCCTCCGAATCGACTGGCTTTCTCGATTAATTTTTGATGACACCAACCTTTGTTATTACTAATACTATGTTCAATGGCTTCATAAAGATAAGGAAAATCATCATCCTGAAATCGCCAATGGATAACATCGTGATAAAGAGCTTGACAATGGGAATCTAATCGTGTGATCGGTATAACGGTGTTATTTTGCTGATGATCTATAGTAAATTGATCTGGTGTAATAACGATCAATGCTGGATCATCAACAACTGGATTTTTACCAACTTTCATTCTGATTTTATTTTCAAATTTTTTCAAATGAGCAATTTCACGACTATTATTAAAAGAAATATGAGCATACTGAATACTTCTTATATAATCTTGTTCACTATTAGGCACATCAGTTTTGATTAATGTACAACGATCTCGTACTTCACCTTGACCATATTTAACAAATAAATTAGCATAGTCAATGCTTAACCAATATTTACCTAGAATTCAGAGTGTGCAAAAGAATTAAATGATTCTCAAATGATATTTTCAAACAACTTACCTTTCTCACCGTACAAAATATGGTCCTTATTTGTCGTTTGATGAATCCTAGTAGTTATATTATTAAATGTTTTATATATAGATACTTGACGTTCATCAATAGAGAAATGAACAATATAACTTCTATTTATCGGTTGTTCACTGATCGACATATGTAGTTCAAATGGTACAGATAGTTGTTGATCCATTTCAATAGTCATCCGTCCTCGATTATCAAGAATTTGAGTACAATCTTCTTTCCAAGGACACCAGACTGTATTCGGAGGTGTATAATCATGATGAGAAGGTAAAGATTGCATATTGCTTTTGCAAACTCCTATGAAAAGAAAATAATTCAATGAATGTATTCTGTTTCTCTCAACATACTTTGATCTTGTTGCTGATTCCACATTTGTGAAACTGTTTCCATACTCATTTGTAAAACATTTTTGGTCATAGTAATTTGTTGCTCAATTACTTTGGCTTGTTGTTGAATAATCTCATTTTGTGTTTGACAATTCTCTGATAGAGAACTAAAAGAAAAGAAATTCAATTATGCAATAGTCTAGTATAAAGAAAAGAAATGTTACGAATCAACGATAACGTTCGAATTTTCCATTGGTTCTAAAGAACATTAATCAAAAGAAGAAATAAGTTAGTTATTTTAATATTCGAATAATTCCTAACCTTTGATTGTTGTTGATTGGATCGATGTTGCATCAAGTAATATATCTTCAGCACTTCTAGCGGACGACACAATTGAAAGTTGATCAATATAACCATCGAAATGAGTATGATGTTGACGAGTAATATACGATGTACCAATAGTTATCGAATCAATTGTACCATAATTACTTACCGATACTTTTTTTGTTACATCTTGTTTGCCATTGAGATAAATTGAAAGTTGAAGTGATACTGCATCAAAAACAAATGCTACATGATACCAATTATCTGGCTTAAGGATAGATTTGCCCTGTAGAGTTTCGTCATAATAATTCATATACAATGTAGTATTTCGAATTCCCATATGTAAACAATTTCAGAGTGATGGATTTTGACATTGTGCTAAAATAGTATTGTGATAGGTTGATAGAGACATCGGATGAATCCAACATTGAACAGTGAATGATAAGCGAGTCAAATTCAAGCTTGGTTGAGTCACTACTATTGATTGTTTTAGAGATGATCGAAGATGAACAGCCGTTGTGCTTACTGGTGACGAAACATAGGACACACTGCTTAGTGGAACACCATTATAAATATTATAAAAATCTTTTGTATTTAAATCGAATGGCCAGAGGATATTTATGGCTGATTTCGAAGTTGAAACTGTACAGAAAAGAAAATTCAATAATAGTAGTATACTTTGTTAAATGTTTCGATATTCTTGTTCTCTTCTCTTAACGACACAGATGTAAAAATGACAAACCTGAATCGAGTAGACGAATATTTCCACAGGCAATGAGAGCACCAGCATGACTAGAAAAAATACAAAATGAGTCTCATCTTAATTATTAAATCATTATCTTCTTTTACCCTGTCGTATGACTATCATCGTGGTTACCACGACCAAGATCATCGTTATCTTTATGAATAACAATGGATTTATTCAAAATCGAACTTTTTGTTAAATTATGTAATTGAATAATGGAATCCTCGAAATCAATGTTTACACTACCTAACGAATCAGACCTTGTAATAGTAAATAGTGAAATATTGAAGAAACAATCAATTCAAATGCAATATAAGAGGTTCTTACAAAATGTTTCCAAGATCGCCAACATGTCTACGATCAATTGAATCTAATCTATCACCATGTCTTGTATCTATTTGATAGATAATAATAGATTTAGAAAAAAAAGAACAGAATTAATAAGTACTAAATGGATTCCAATGAGCACCAACATGATTACAATTCCAGTCACCTTCGGGTAAAGCAAACGTGTGTACATGAAATCCATGATATCTTGTATTTGGTATTAAATTCTTCAATGTTCCACTAACACGAACAGGTGCTGGAGGAAAATCTCGCTGAGTAAATGTAAGGGTACCAATAGAGACAGGACTTGAATCAATGTGAATATCAGCTTTGGCAATCAATGTCTTCGTTGAAGATTGGAAAGATCCTTCTATGAAAAAAATATCATAGAGCTTTATCACTCGATTCGAAGTGGAATCAATCAATCCTATACTGTTTCTTACCTTTGATGAGTAGAATGAAAGTTAACAATAAAAGATTGAATGGACTCATTAGTAAGTTATTGTCGTTCTACAACACAGTAGATCATTTGGCAGATTTGTGAGAAAATAATATTACTAAAAGCATAAAAACGGATGCGTATATTCCTTATTATTTTTCCATATTCTATCGTTGACTTGCTGGTATATGACGGTGAAAAAATATTCCAACTTTATTATCTTCTTTCATCGTATTATTAGCTGTCAACAAATAACATACGAGAAAATGTTAAGACAAAATTTGGGAAAAAGAAATTCCAACACTAGAAAAACATCTCATCTATTATTTATCGGAGTAATATTTTGCATCAAATATTGTTTTATATGGTATAACGCTTATTGTATAAATATACATACATATTCGAAGAGATATCATTAATCTATGTCATATATGTATATATAGATAAAATAATTCCATCCAATTCAAGAACAATATACATCACTTCATTGATACAAGTGAATGAAGAACAAAAAATAGATATTCTATTCAATAATTTATTTTATTGTACATTTTCATATGAATAATATTATTTATTATCTTAATCGTACTATTTTTTTGTGACTTATAGTTAATGATACGACTAATAATTGATTTGAATGAAAGAGTTCCTTTATTCTTTACAAGGATGTCATCTAATGAAAACTACAAGTGCACTCAATGAAATACATTCTCGTGTATTGTAAAATGAGCAAAGACTGTTAATAATGAGAATATATCTTTTTGCTCGAATGTTTCACTTCTACCTCATATAATTGATCCCTTATCTTTTATATATACACAAGTAAATCCTGTTGAAGAAAGCAACAGATTAAATGTACACTGATTGCAATCCATGATTTTATTATTGATGAAAAATCCATTAAGGTATGGATGTGGGTAGAGATATGTTATACTCATGCCCTTTATCTTGATTCTCCATTATCAGATGGATATATAATAAATCTTTTTTTTAAATTAACCAAAGCAAAATATTTAAACAAGTTCTTACTCGTCTAAATAACAATGCATGAGAAAATATGGGATAGTCTTATGAAAAATTCTATTTTCATGGATTTGTCATACATGCTCAGTCATCAATACTTACAATCAAAATGAGATGTCTCTTTTTCCAGTAATTACAAACTACATCAAGGAATAAATGATATTTATAAATAAAGAAAAAATCACAAAAAAAAAAGATGATTATTATAGTGTTTATATTGCCGAATATAGAGAGTGGCCGAAAGCTGTCTTTAATGTTGAGTAAATGGATGCTGTGCTACTTCTCTTATATCGGCCCTTGCGTCTGGATGTTTTACTAAGGTGCGACGAAGCATATCATTTAATTGATGATCTGGATATGGCCTTTGTCTATATGGCGGATTTGGACCTGATCTATAAGTTGGTGGTTCACCATAAACCATAAAATAAAGAATAGCACCTAATGACCATACATCTGCTTTTGAAGTATAATAACGTTGAGCACCAGGAATATCTTCCATTATTTCCGGTGCACTTTTAAAATAAAATTAAAATATATATTTTTATTAGTTATTTGTAGTTTACCTATAGCCCATAGTGCCTAGACCAGCAAGACTATTACAAAATGAAAATGATTTATTATTTTACATAGAGAAAAGAAAGCTTATCACGTTTACCCTAAAGCATCAGCCTTTCTTGATATACCTAAATCAGCAATTTTGAGTGTCGCTCCAAAGAGAATTAAATTGTCTGGTTTTAAATCCATATGAACAATTCCATTTTTACTAAGTGTAATGACAATAGTGACCATTTGACGCCAAAATTCTTTAATCATTTCCCCATCAATTGCTGGACTGCCAGTTCGACTCATTTCACGTAATTTTTTAACTAATGTATATAAATTTTCATGACCTAATTCCATCACAATATAAGCTGAAGAATAAAGTAATTGAAAATAAAAATATTTTAATTCAAAAAAAATTTTCTTCTACATACCATGTCCAGCTCGAGGATCAAACCCGAAATTATGGATAACAACGACATGACGTGATTCTTGTCGTAATCGATTGAGTTGAGCAACTTCATTTAAAAAAGATTCAACGCGACCTTCTTTCTCGAAACGTGTTGCACCAGCTATCATAGTCACTTTGACAGCAACGGGCATATTATTTGCTGTTCTTGCAGAATATACAGCGCCTATTTTTTTAAATTACAAAAAAATTAAAAAACTTGTTTTTAATAATTATCAAAATGATATTACCAAAACCACCAGCACCTAAACGTTTTTCGAAGAAATATGGTTGACCATTCACCCGAATAGTTCTACCAGTAAACGCATCTCCATCTGGGTAATAATAATTAGGATAATAATCTAATTAATTTCAACATTTATTTTAGTTTTTAATTTAATTTAATTTAAATACGAACTTGTATATCCGAACATATTCATTTATTGTTTTGTATTAGATATATATGAACTCGTTTCACTAACACTACCAAAAGGAAGTACGAAAAGTGTATCTGTAAGTAAATTTATAGATATATACGTGTGAGAGAAGAGAAAAAAGAAAAAAATAACCAGTAATGAAAATGAATGTAACGAAAGTAAATGCATCATTATAAAACGGTATATAACTTGTGAGAGTAATTACTGATGACACTGTAGATAGGCTACATGCGTGTCTATCAAGAAAAAATTATACATACTAAGAAAATGAGAAAAAATGTAAGCAAATGTTCCACATGAATTGATTATATGCACATGTTTCAATTTATTTACTTATACGAACACATGAAGGTAGAAAAACATGTTTTTCATATTTAATCAGTCAAAATATATTTTCATTTTTAAACATAAATATTTTTCATGTGTTTACTATACGAAAAAAAATTGATCAAACATCTAAATGACTACGATTTAAGTAGTCAGTAATCGATGTTATTCTCTTTATCGTACAAAAGAGTCTAGCAAACATAAATTGCTGCTTGCTTGCTTGTATCCTATGTAAAAAGAAAAGAGGTATGTTTAGATTTCCATTCAGAGAAAATTTTCAATTCCTCATCAACCACAACTAATACAAATAATACTAAAAGGACGTCCACTTACCGAAAAAACTTCTATATAATTTCAGACACATCATGTACATATGATATAGCCATAGGGTAGGAAGTAACAAGAAATTTATATAATTTCTTTTTTTTTCACTACCCTTCATATATACTCAATATATATAATATTATTCATTACCTCCTGTCCTTCATATGTTCGATGTATATAACATTATTCATTATTTACTACACTAATATTTTAAATCTCCTTGATATCTCTATAATTTCTTTCTTCCTTCTACTCTTCATGGATGTTCGGCGTATAGAATATTATTCATTACTTTCTACACTAATATTTTAAATCGCCTTGATATCTTTATAATTTTTTTTTCCTTCGACTCTTCATATATGTTACATATGTATGATGTTATAGATTATCTTCTATAGTAATATATGAAGTTATTTAGAAATTTCTAAACTTTGTGACTTCGCTGCACGCTTGATATATGTCGCTTCTATTTGATAAACTGTACTATCTTTCGTAGTGATTGGAGGAGTTTCCTGACTGATAGTTGATGGTATGAACGGTTTGATATAGAATTTTCGAAAAATGCGTTATAATTAATTGATGTCTTATTGTATGTGGCAATGGATGGTGGTGAAAAGTTCCAGTATTTTTCGAAATTTCCCTTTCGCGGAAATCCGAACACTACTGATCTATTTTCAGGGTGAGTGTGAGATGAGGACAAGACCTACACTCTCATCCTTGTTCGTAGATATACGAATAAATTTTTCAATTTATATTATTCGTTATGATGTAATTTCATGACGAGCGATTATTGCGAAATGTATTCATCAAAGGAAAAAGCAGAACAAGATTGGTTATTCATCTATGTATATAGTAATCTTTGTCATTTTGTCGTTAACAAATATTCAATGAGAAAAATAAGAATAAATTCAACTGCAATCGTGATTATTATTCATAGTTATAAATAGAACTCTTTGGTTCTCGATAACGTATAAATATGTGTGGATGCATTTTTACGCCTCAAAAGCGCACATTTTAACGCATTAAAATAGTGCTTTTGTCTAATTGAGCAACAGAAAAGAATAAAAAGAAAAAGAGTGCATATTCTATCTGCTAAAATTTTATTTTTATCAGTACGTAATAAAAAAATAATATGTCGTTATCATCGGATGAGTATCTTCTTGTGCAACTGAACGATATTTCAATTGAGATTAATCGTTATCTCTCAATTTTTATTTTTCTATTTGGTGTTATTGGTAATATACTTAATATTCTTGTTTTATCACAACGTACACTTCGTTCTAATTCATGTGCTTGGCTTTTTCTTATTTCATCTATTAGTAATCTCATTGCTATTCTATCTGAGATTACTACACGAATGTTATCTAGTTGGGCAATTGATCCAACAGATACATTGGACTGGTTATGTAAACTTCATGGTTTTCTTACCTTTAATGCTAGAACCATTGCTTATTGGTTAATTACATTAGCGACTATTGACCGATGGTTTTTATCAAGTCTTAATGTCAATACTCGACAATGGAGTACCTTAAGAAATGCTCAACGCAGTACAATAATTATTTTAATTCTTTCAAGTCTTCTCTATGTCGATATATTCTATTGTTATGAATCAAATTTGATTAATGCTCCATTGCCATGTTACAGCAAAAATACATTTTGTCTTTTAATTATTGATGTATCAGCACTTGTTATGTCAGTATTACTTCCAATACTATTTATGATTATATTTGGTGTAATGACTATCTTAAATATTCGCCGCTCTAAACGTCGAGTACGTCCAGTACCTGTTTTCATTATTGGGAATAATACAATTCAACATAAAATACCTCTTACTGGTAAACAATACACTCATCATAATACCATACAGAAAAAGAAAACAGATGGTCAACTTTTTAAAATGCTTTTTATTCAAGTTATTCTTCTGACTTTATTTACTCTTCCATTGATTCTTGAAAAAATCTATTCAATATTCATTCGACCACAAAAATCTCCAATAGAAACTTCTATCGATACAATTATTTATAACATAGCTCTTTTACTTAACTATTTAACGAATGGAATGCCATTTTATATTTATACATTATTTGGTGAAAGTATTTTTCGAAAAGAACTTTTTCATCTTTTGACACTATTCAGACAAAAATTTCAGTGTCATCGAACGTTCAACTGATTATTAGAGGATATCAACAGAAAAGAGAAGACTTTCTGCTTTTGAGTCTTGTATCAAAACTAGATAATATTAATTTTATTTGTCTATAACTTCAATCCTTAGAAACCACTAGTTTTTCTTCTTATTAAACTTTCCAAAAGATCTATTGTGAAAAGCTCTTCAAAAACAGTAAGAACGCACTTCTTTGGCAAAACAAAAGAATCATCCATGCATTTTATTATCATGCAATTATAGCCATTATTTTTCATTATAATGATAGTAACTACTTGATAATGCAACAAGAAACTACGTAGAAAATCAAAGAGATATGGTGAAATTACGCATTTATTTATTAAAAGGAAAAAAAGCATCAAAAACATAATCTATGAATATACGTCGTTAAAACTCTATATGAATTAGTTCATATTACAGCTATGACCTAACTTACTCAATCGAAGTCGATAGGTTCTATTCAATTTTAAATATGTTGTAATGAAAAGCATTTTCGGAATTTTGATGCACGTCTTTCGAAATTAAACTCATCTTTTTTCCTGAAAATTAAAAAGAAGAAGACTCATACAAGAATCATAGTTTGAATCGTTATTGTAATTAAAACAATTAATTGTGCGAAAGTAGGGCGTGGGTATTACATTAACCTTATTCTGACACTCACCTTTAAGTTCTTAGGAAGAAAACATCTTATCCAGTAGATATGACTACGACAAGCAATTTTTGTCTCAGGAACTTATTTGTCAAAACGAATCGTTAATTTAGGTGACTGCGTAAGACTTACATTTGAGATTACTTCAACAATATAGTAAAAAACCGACTTTTTCCATAAAACCTTATCCAACCCAAAAGTTATTGTGATATCTTTACCCTCAGGCATTGCCTTTACAAAGTGACAAAGTTTCAGAACACTCGACAGGGAGCACCCCCGCACCTTAATACATATGAAATAGTTTTATTTTCAGTATTTCTATTTTATGCAAAACAAAGGAAAAAAGAGATCACAATAATATGGCACAAAAAAAAATAAAAATACATTATTAAACTGAATATTTGCATAACAACTATTAGAACGAAACAATTTGATAAGCCACACAACAACAAATATTACATATTTTCAACATAAATGAACACATATATTACTTACTTTTTTTCCGGATCTATTGATCGATAATGAAAAAATTAAACATTATGGTCTGTCATTATATAAAATAATAATTCTTTTTTCTCGAGATAATTCAATAGAGGGATTGATATATATATTAATCAACTCTCTTTCGATGCTTGAAAACTGTTCGACGCCAATATTCAGCATATAAAACATCGGGTACATAGCGATCATCCAACGAAGAATTGAATGATGATAAAAAGCCGTATGACAATTTTGACCAATCATCAATAATAATAGATCTTGTTTTAGTAAATAAAGGATCAAGTCCACTTGTGAGAACAATAGGTACTGCACCCATTAATAAAGCTTCCCATGTTCGAAGACAATCAATTCCACCACCGGGTGGTGATAAAACAAATTTAGTGTTACCTATCTGCTCTAAATAATTTTCAAATAGAAACCTTTTTTTAGGTATATATACATTTTCAATTGTTGATGCTTGTGACAGAGCTTTTGTTCGTTCAACAGTGTTTGTTGTAATTTCAAAATTAACATAAAGAAAAGTTGTTCGTTGAGACCAAGGTTTGCGATGGTTTTTCAAAGCAAATGTTATTTTACTTAAATTTCCTTGTATCCATCGTGTATTAGCTACTCCAATCGGAATAGGAGATATTTTTTGAAGATTTCTTTGATTAAGATTGGATGCGTACCAATGAAGTATTTTGGGATTTAATAAATATTTGTCATATATTCCTGGTGTAGGAGTATCACTATTATGTGTAATAAGTACAAATGGTTCTCGTATAGACTTAAATGATGACTTAAAAAATCTTGGAAGCATATCGGTTTTTACAAAAATAATTTCACCATATTTTACTGATCTTAAATTATCATGTCTTGTTTCATCATGTATATAATCAGAAAAAGCTCGAAATGTATCACCACTGATAAAAGGATAAGAAGAATTTCGTTCGGAAGTTGCATGCCGATAATACAAAGAGATTATTGATTCCGAATTAGTTTTATTATAAGATGATGAATGATAATAGTAATATGTTGTATTAGTCTTTCCAATTACATTGTCTAATAATATTGTAGGTTTAGATATGAATATGGTACGGTTGAATTGGAAAAGAATGTATAGAATACATGATAATACAATTACGTAGAACAACACATAATATTTTCCAGTTAGACAGTTATTGAAGTTGACCATTGATATGACGATATTATTGGTGAAAAATGAAAATAAGTAGATAAATGCTATACATTTGCGGTATATTTAGATTTCCACTCAGAAACAAATTTCAATTCCGCATTGACAATAACTCATAGAAATAATACTAAAAGGACGTCCACTTAATGAAAAAATCTAAAAACCTTCTCGATAATTTCACAGGTATAATGTATAATACCATGCACATATAACATAGCCATAGGGTAGGAAGTAAGAAGAAAATATAGAAATTCCGAGTTAATTTGTCATATATAATATATTATATGATATACATAAGAGAGAGATGTAGAGTAGGAAGTGATAATAAATCTCTATAATTTCTTTTTTCCTCTATCTTTCATATATGTTCGATAGATATGATATTATTCATTATCTTCGCATTAATGATTTAAATTTCTTCGTATCTTTTATAATTTCGTTTTTTCTTCTACTCTTCGTATATGTTCGATTTATATAATACTATTCATTATCTTCGCACTAATGTTCTAAATTTCTTCGTATCTTCTACTCTTCATACATATTCAATGTATAGGATATTATTCATTATCTTTGTACTAATATTTTAAATTTCTTAGTATTTTTTAATATGTGATATATCATGATAGATGAAAGAAATTCGTTTTGCTTAACTGCTCATATGTGTGTACTATATTAGATTGGAGAGATAAATGAAGACCTGAGTATGTTGGCCATTCCATGTTTATCCTCATTCTATTCATATATTTCATTGGGAATGTAAAGAAAGAGCATGGTTCGTAGTTATCGTCTTTCAAAGCTGTCGACTGCATATAGCTATGAATTGGAGTCAATAAGTTGTAAGTAGAGTGAACAACTGATTCAAGACGAACTAAATCGAAACTTTTACTTCTATTAATTGATTTTTACAATATAAATATTTTTTAATTTTAAATACGATTACTTGAAATCGTGTTTGGGTGTGAGTGCTATTTTCTTTTTATAAATAGCTAAAGTTATAAGATACGAATATATTTTACGGCGCTATGTGGATTCATCACATTCACATATATTTCTAGTGTAAGTAACATCTGACATCTATGTTTCATGTCAAAATAAAAGTGTAAAGAGGATGGATAAAATATTTCTTTTTTCAATGGTAGCAAGAACTACAGAGACACTTGATCAAATGCTGTGTACCTTTCAAAATCTATCACAATATAGATCTCTAAAACTTTCGTTACATGTCAAAATTAGTTAGAAAAAAAATCCAGTATAATACATACTTCAATATGTGTCATTTTATAAAGGAAACGTGCCTATAATATATTTTTGTATTTATTTATCAAGAAACATTCAGTCTAAGATGTTTATGAAGACTTGAATATAATACTTATGTATCTCTGAACAGAATCGTTCTATCAATCTGAAATTGATTCGATATTATAGTTATGAACTAACCAAATTTAAGAGTATATTCTTTTAGATTATATTTTTTTGTATCGAATTATTATGTCCAGAGACTTTAGTATTGTTATATGTGGTGCAGCCCGTGTTGGTAAAAGTACTCTTGTAAATGCTATTTGTGGAAGAGAAGTTGCGCGAACAAGTGGTAGTTTATGTTCTCAAACTGATCGAATGGAAAAATATATAATTAATAAAACTGATACTGAAAATTCCATTGAATATACAATTACAATTTATGATACTCCAGGTATTGAATCATGGAGTAAAGATCATATTCAAAATTATTTTTCGAAAATAATGAATGAAAGTAAACCATTATGTATGATTTATTGTGCATCACCTGGATCATTTGCTCGACTTGATCAATTACAATGGCTTGTTGATACTTGTATCAAATCCAACATCTTTTGTGCTTTAGTTTGTACAAATAAATATTCCGGAGGATCTCAAAGACGCCAAGAAGTTCTAAAAGATTTTCATTCTCTTCTTATTGGTTATCATGGAATGACACGTGATGAATCGAATATAAAATATTATGGTAATGTTGCTCTATGTACAGCAGTAAATAGTATTGTTTATGAAGATACAGAATTAAATATAAGAAAAGAAGTTGAAGGAATTAATGAACTTATTTTTGGAATATTAATATCCTTAAAAGATGAGAATATTGTTGGCTGGTGCTGTACAATCGCCGATAATCAATCGTTCTGGATAACTATGCAAGCGAAAATTATCGAATACTATGAATTAGCAAAACCAGTCGCAATCAAATTTTGGGATGAGCATGGTGACGAAATTGCAAGAAGTTTAATTCCATTAATTCTTGCTTTAATCAAACGAAAACTCTAAATAATGTATTTATATTTTCTCTTTTGCCATTTATTTTAAAATAAAATTCAATTAATCTTTTATTTTGAATTTAATTTTAGATAACAAAAAAAAAATCTTAATGGTTGATAATATAAAACAAACAAATATTCTTCTTTGTGGATCATCACGCGTAGGTAAAAGTACTTTAATTGATGCAATTTGTCAACAAAAATTAAGTAAAACAAATAGAAGTTTAAATTCAGTAACAAAATCGATTGAACAATATTCATATAAATGTACAAATGGACGAACAACACATGAAACTATTATATGGGATACACCAGGTATTGAATCTTGGAATGAAAATGAAGTTCGATCTTATATGATTTCATTAATTGAACAAACACAACCATTATGTATGATTTATTGTGCTTCACCAGGTTCATTTGCGAGATTAGAACATGTTAGTTGGTTAGTTTCGGAATGTTATGAAAAGAATATTTTCTGTGCTCTTGTTTGTACAAATATGTGGGCAGGAAGAAATCGACAAGGAGTTGTTGATGAATTTTGTAGAATTTTAAATAGTATTCATCCAAATATTCATCCAATTGAAGAAGATAATGTAATTTATTTTAATAATGTTGCTCTTGTAACCATGGTGAATAGTCATGAATATATTGATAAAGATTTTGATGTTATTAAACCTGTATCCGGAATTGAACAATTAATATTTGGTATTGGAAAATCATTAAATCGAGATTTAATGTTTGCATGGTTTCGTACAGTTTCTCAGAATACAAATTTTTGGACAAATATGTCATCGAAATTAAGTCATTTATTTCAAATGCCAACTGGAACTTTGACGTCATTATATGGACATGCCTCAAATTTTCTTGATTTTTTATTTGATGACTCGAATTTTCTTCCCGATGATGATGATATGACACCACTAACAACAAAAGATACAGTTATTTCGAATTAAGCTATTTTTGTGATAGACATAAAAATTTAATATTTTAGGAAGAATGTTTATTTCATGATGCGGAAATAATTGATCTTCCTGAACAAAAAATTTCAAAGAAATTAATATTTACATTTCAATTAGATGGTATACAATTAAAGATTGTTATAGATTTATTTTATTTATGAATATTTAGATATAGCCAGAACAATTGAATTTCCCCAAATTTTACAAAAACTTGGTGCAAAAAGTTGTAAAACGGAGGAATTAAACAAAGAATCGGAACATTTATTAAAATTTATTGTCGAGTAAGCAAATTGATATTGAAGTTAATACCATTAAAATCTTTTATATAATAGATTTGAAGACATTGAGCATGCAGAAGCGATGTATCATTTTTGGCAATTGACAACAACAAATCAAATTAATTGTACAATTGTCGACGAACTATCTGATGAATTTTCTAATATAAACTCTGTTTAATTTTTATTCAATAAATCAAAAAAATTCCAAATTTTTTGTCGCATTATATTCGTATCACGATTCAAAAACCATGATGATCTTTGGGCATCAAAATATAATACATGCTATGATTGCCAATTGTCACGCTATCAATGATAAAATAGTACAATAAAAGAAAAATATATTTTTATTAGAGATTGACGATATACGGAATCATATGGTGTCTTTTATTGAGAGGTAGAATGAGAATGTGTAACGTAAGGCATATCGTTCTATAAAAAAATATGAACCATAATAACGTTCAGATGTATATTAATAAAAATAATAAGCACATATTTCTGTAAAAAGAAGCATTAATAGTATTTTATATTCAAACAACGATTTCTATTTTACCACACAAATAGTCGATGGCTATTTGCAACTAATTTTCAGTCACGATAATAAATTTCAAAAATAATTATTTATTCAAGAGACGAAAAATATAAGTTCTAGTTACATATTTCTGTGTTTTATATCGTTACTTTTATTTTCTCCCGTATTACTCTTATAACTTTAGAAAGAATATGAATATAATTAAATAAAACTGAAGATTCAAAGATTTAACACAAGTCGTTAACTAAAAAATACCTTTTATAAATGTTCAAGGTTAAACTGAGCACTATAATTAAAATTGTCTATATTACTTTTAGAAATGATGAAATGAATTAATTGAG